AGACAGCGGTACCGAAAGCAATGTATCTTTCACTTAAGAATTTTGTAACAAAGTTGAGTTAACTATGGAAATGTTTTTATTGTCGTGAATAGTGCTACATGCAATACATTAAAGGAAGTGTTGATGTACAATCAGCTTTGAGTAAATGCTTATCAACATGAGATTTTGTGATGCGATCGGACCTTCTGACTGTAAGACAAACTTAAAGCAAGGGGCACACATACACCAACCCACGGCCTGGGCAATACCTCACGCATGCACACAGCCATATAACGCGGGCAGTGGCAGCTATGGACAGCTGTTTCGCCCTTCTTGGGGCTCATCAGCATGGCATAGCCGTCGGGTCAATAAACGAGGAAAATCCCCGTGTATCAAAGACCCTTTCTACTGTAGTAGGTTCGATTGTCACCATGATTGGAGATGATTTCCCTCAGGTAGGAGGGGATAGTACAAGTTCTCAATGGGGTGGTGGCTTTTACGGTTATCGGCTAAAATTTTGGCTCTTTTACGGCTATCGGTTAATTTTTTTCAGTTACGGTTAAGGGAAAAGTTGAAAATTAACTTCTTTTGTTTCAAAAAGTTAAATATTAATTATCCTGTATTTTTTTGTATCTTTAAATCAAAATAAAGGTCTTCGGATCATCTCGGGATGAAATAAGCTATTCTTTTGAAAAATTTTAACATTTGATAGATCATACTTTTTATAAAGTATTGCACTTCTGATATTATTTTACACATAGAAATGTCAATAGTCAATTTAAAAATAATCTTTGTGAAAAAGCAAAAGCAGACACGCGAACGCCCAACTCAAGGCCGGGGCGCGACATTCATTAACAGAAATGGCCGTTTTCACACTAGAGAAGGATTATTCGTGTGAGACGGGTTATCCGTTTGATGATTCGCGTCAGATAGGTGATACGTCTTAATTTGGCAATGGAATAGTTTTAATTTGGAATAAACAATCCGCCTGACTTTTGAAGACAGGATTATCCGTTCCAGATAGCCTGTGTACAGCCGCCCCCTCCCCTCAGAAAAAAATCGGAGAAGAGGTGTCTGTGGGGAGGGCGCGACTGTACACAGGCTAGTCTCAGACGGATGATCCATTTCTAGGTCTAGTGTGAAAACGGTCAATAACAAAATTTCCGTGTCCAGTGTTTTTAATGATAGCGAAGGACTGTACGGAACGACTGTCTTGCCGTTGCCTTGTCCGTAGGCCGCATTATTTCGCACGGCTGATGCCTTTCGGGTCATGTGGTCCGAGCGAGTTCGCCACTGAAATGTCTTGATGGAGATTGCGTGGGAAGACGCCGAACAGGTACAAGGCATGGCGATGTCTACCATAGCGTCCGAGAAAAACAGGGAATTGTTGTTTATCGGCAACGTGTTTTACAAACAGTGACATCTCTGCGTGTTGTTTCACTAGAGTTTTGAGGGCACGGCCTCCTGAAAATTGCAAATATTAATCCCCAGCAAGAAGCCACACTTTCGCTATGGAAAAAATTAGTTCCCCAAGAAAGCGCCGGAAATGGAGCCTAGGTCTTGGTTAACACCTAAAAGGCGCTTCCCCTAACGTGCGTACGGATTCACAATAGCCGGGAAATAAAAAACACAACCATAAGTGAGTTTAGTACCTTCCTTAAAAGTAGCAAATCTAGGGAACACTTTCTTTTACGGTTAACTCTTTTTTACGCTATTTACGGCTAACGGTTAAATTTTTTTAATTTTTACGGCTATCGGCTAAATTTTTGGCCGTTTTACGCCTATCGGTTAACCCCATTGAGACCCTCATAGTAAAGATGATGTGAACTGTGACAATACAAATTTAAATGAAGATATGCTGGTCGCCGTGGTAATTACAATTTAAGCAATTGCAAATTAACCCGTAAAAAATTTCCGGACCTCATCAAATTGGCCTGCTCCCAATGAATGGGTCTTCATAGCTCAAAGGGACACAGAGGCCATGGGTTCGAATCCCGTTAAAGTCCCGAAATTTTTATTCGGCTTTAATAATTTGCAAATATTGCTAAAATTGCAATTAGCACTGCGACGATGATATCTTCATTTAAAATCCAGGGATAAGCTAGGGATAGTCTTATCCAACTTTTGAACAACCGGACCCAGCAGATTTTAAACGCCTGGAACAGGCTAGAGCGTATCTAGACCTCTTGCTTTTAGCAAATAGAGAAACTGGAATTGTTGGAATCGGAGTCTGATTACGATTTAAATCGGAGCTTCCTTGAACCGGGTTTTAGGCAAACTCGATTGCTTGCTTTAATGATCGGTTTGGTTAAGGCGAGTGTTCTAGAGTATGGCTAATGAAATATTGAAAGGTAAATTGAAAAGCACAAAATTTCTACATAACTCATACCTGCCAAAGAGGCCAGACTCGAGATAGTTTCTTTGGTCTAGCCTAACATCCCAGATGGTACCATCACGTGGTCTGAAATGGGAAAACACAACTATAGACATTATAAAAAGGTCTAGTATGGATCTTACATGTAGAAGATAGCAGAAATTGCATTCCGTAGACGAAAATAAACTTGTCGGAACAATTAGAGTAGAGGGAATCTCTCCGGTGGTTATCTGACCTGCGAGCAGGCTCACTACTTGTGCGAGTTCGGGGAAAATTTTGGCGGCTGAGCAAGAGGAAAAGTGACCTTTCCTCGTGCGAGGGCAGTGGAACCGCCAAAATTTTCCTAGTCCGAAATGTCATGCGTTAACGGGGTGAAGACATGTGACAGTTTCCCCGATCGTAGCACAAGCTCCAAATATTACTACAAAAAACCCTACAAAATATGAATAAAGGTCCCAGTCCCCGAACTCAATTACACAAAAGGCATGGGAACAAGCGAATAATCTTTTTTCCAACATGGCGGATGCTGTTGCACGAGTAGCACAGGAAGAATTGCTCATCAACCAATTCCAGTGGGTAGAAATATTTTTTTGTTCCTTCTTGAGTATTTAATGGATAGTTTTCATCACCTGTGTTAGTTACTTTGCATAGGTCTGGCTGGCTGGGTTTATAATTCAAAACTGTGCATTCACTATTCAACATTCGTTTTTCGTAATCTAATATTCAACTTCTCTAATTCAACGTTGTGTATTAACAATTTCACGTCCATATTTCAAATACTATTCACATGCAAATATTTTTTTATTACACTACGACGTTGTCTGAAAACGATGAGTCTCAAAATTAAGCTTACATAGCTCGTGTGAAGCTTTTTATGTGTATTAAACTAGTGTCAATTATAAGTATTTTACAAACAACATTTGAAAATTTATCTGAACGCAAATATGAAGTTTTCATTAAGATGTCCATTTGTCAAAAGGATGCACAGGGAGTACAGTCTGTACATGCCCAAAGTTGAGTTGTCTCCTTTGCAGATGTTATTTTGGTGGTTATTGAAGTCATTTTGATACAAGTTGTTTTGATACCAGTTTATTTAGTAGAGATAATATCAATGAGCTCGCCCCCTAGTGAATTAGCCCTGTATGTTTGCCCCCTACTTTCCAAGTTCACTATGCAGTGGAATAACTCCAAATTCTATTCAAATCACACATTTAGACATTTATTTAAAACATACCTGTGAATTGGCTTGTGTTATCGAAGGAAATCTCTGTAATGAAAGTGAGGAACACTTCAATAAGAAAACACCATCTACTTGTTTCAAATCCAACCTAAATCTAACTCGTAAGTCATGTATCATACTAGCCAAGCTTGTGTCTCTTCTTTGGCCTGTCAACACTGTATATTCTACTCATAATTAACCTGAGATTAGACAATCGCTTGGTGCGAATTGGTTCTCTGGTAATGTGCACTTGATCTCCCACTGGTATTTGTTAACAAAAGGAAACGAATTTAACCGCTCGTTTCAGCAGATGTTCATAGGGAAGAAATGCATGATAAAGCCCTAAGAACATCTGTGTGGTGGTAAAAGTGGAGTTTCCAACTCTAGGATTAGGGTTAGGGTTGAAGATACAAGATCTTTGATCACACCTCTTCACCTGCCATTTGAAACAAAATCTCAGCTAAGATCAAGGGTTGCAAGGGGTAATACAGATCACCAGCCATCCAGGTACAAAACTAAGGATAGATCAACACCTCAATGTGACAGGGCTTGTAGAATTCATGTAGTGAGTGCTGTTGTAGGATTCAGTAAGTTAGACGTATTGATGCAGTCTACACTGTTTCATAATAGCTTGGTGAACTCTTTAAGTTGTTAGAGGATACTGTAACATTTGTTTTCTACAGACATTTTAAAGTATATTTCAGGTCATACATCCAAATAAATGGCAATGAGTTCAATCAAGTTTTAATTGTCAATAATGCCGCGAACAGTGATGACAGATTATGTGCAATGGTGAAATTTTGCACAATTTGACCTCAAATCACATCTTATCATATAACTGTAATTCAAGGAAAATTGAGTGATTTGTACAAAAGCATTAAGTAAGCATTAATTCTAAAGTTTATTAAGCTTTTCCAAGCTTTTACACTAATAATATATTTATTTTTCTTTCACTATCAATTTTGCTTGCAGGTAGTGGCATTTTCCCATATTAAGCAGTAGGAAAAAGTGAAAGAAGAAAAGCAACAGAACAAGAAAATAAAATCTGATAAAGTTCATTAACAAAAAGCAAAGAAGAAAGACCATGTCAGATATATTGAGGAAGACCGAGAAAAGCAAGATTCAACAAAGAAAAGAAAAACTGAAGATAACTGTCCTGATGAAAGAGAATTAATAAAAAAGCAGAAGAAAAGCAAGAAGGATAAAGAGCATACAGCACTGTTTGGTTCTAGTGAAAGTGTAAAGGAATTAAAAGAGAAAAATAAAGATATATTTTCTGACAGAAAACGGTATGAATGTACCACACATTTTGCAGCCTTGAATGAAAGTAAGGACTTCAAAGAAATCTCTGACAGTTTCAGCGGTAGTAAGAAAAAGAAGAAACAGAAAGAAGAAAGGGAAATTTATTTTGCTCAGGTGTCAGAAGAAATGGACAAGTCAGTGCTCAAACATAAAGAAAAGAAAAGGAAATCAAAAAAGGAGATAAGTGTGGAAGGTGACTTGAAAATTGGTTGCAGTGATGGGATTGTAGATAACAGACAGAAAAGGAGAAAGCACAAAGGAGAACCAGAAGGAGAATACTCCCTGGATATTGGAAGAAGGAAAAAGGAGGATGCTGAAATCTTAGTTGGTGATAGTGATCAAGTGAGTGAATTGACAGATGTTGTTAAGAAGAAGAAGAAGAAAAAACTTGATTATGGTGATAATGTTGATAACAGCAAGAAGACAAGAAAAAGAAAAGCAGAACCAGAAGAAGAATACACCCTGGACGTTGACAATAGAAAGAAAAATGAAGTCAATGGAGAGTCAGAAGTCGTCAAAAAGAAGAAGAAAAAGAAACCAAAAGATGATCCAGGAGGGAACTCGAAACCAGCTATACATCCAGGTCTTAGTTACCTACGTGCATGGAATAATGACAAACAAAATTGGAACTTTAAGAAAGTGCGTCAAGTCTGGCTTCTTCAGAATATGTTTGACCAACAACAGGTCAGTAAAGCTAAATGTATCTGCTTTACTTTTTCATTATGTTTTCCCTTATGTTTTAACCATTTTTTCTTTAAAATATGCCAATTTTCTTAAAAAAGATCCAAGAACATGGTAGGTCCATTGAAGGATATAAAGACTAGCCCTACTGTACAGGGTGCAGAGGAATTATTTGTGACCTTAATTGCAGTTAAATTTTTCAGTTGGCTGCACCAATCACCTTTGTTTGCTGTAGAATCACCCTGTTACATTTTTGTTATGTAACATATTTACATGTACTGCAGACCAAAAGGACTGAGGATGCCAATATTGGCTTAGATTGTATACTAAAAACCCTTAATGACTGGTCCCGAGGGAAATAGTTAATTTTGTTTCCTGTGAATCTCATTGTTTGACAACATTGAGATTTCCTGAAAAAGACATTAAACCTCGCTGTAATAAATGGCAGAGGTCGGTGAACTTTAATGGGTTTTTTGAATGCGTCATCTTTCAGGTGACAGTCGCTCTCACTAAATGATGGATAATGTTTTGCCAGGTTTGTAACTGGATCGCATGACAGTTTGATCGGTCAAGTTCAAATTCGATTCCACAGTAAACAAAGGCGATTCATGCTATCAGCTAAGTAAAATTTAACTGCGGTCAAGGTCACAAATAACTCCTCTATGCCCTGTATAATTGTGGGCAACGGACAAAATACTTGTTTTGCTGTTTCTTTACCAAAAATTTATGTCCTGTTTGGGATGAGATCTCAAGTCCTGGTATTCTGTGGCACATTCCCGTATAGGCCCCCGTGCAAGGGCTAAGAAAGGTGGATGTAAATCTTACAACCTACATAACAAATAGTTTGTTTTCAGTATCCACTAGTTTGAGATTTATCACACAGCTTGCTATCAGAAGAAAATGGGAACATCCTTTATACTCTCTACACAGTTACTCTTTAATACCGGAAATTAGTAGAGGATGGCAGACAAATTTTGGCCAAAAAATGACCTGGAAACAAGATTTCGCCTAACCTGCGTAGCAAGCGTTTCCGCGCGGTTTCGGAGTAAAGAACAAGGAACGAGAGTCAAAGACCGCGCAAAAAAATGGCGTGAGTAAAAGGGGGGGGAGGGGTGGGGAAGAAAGGAAGGAAACCTACTCCCTCCCCCTACCCCTTCTTTCATTTTTTGGCTGTCGTTCCATTTTTCGCGCGGCCAAAACCGAAAATCCCATTCCTCGGTCTTCCTTTACTCCGAAACCAAACGGAAACGCTTACTACGCAGGCTAGATTTTCCCATACCCCAATCCTGCCTATACCCCTGATAATTTATGCCACAGAAAGTTGTTCATCCGGGATGAAAAACTCGTCACGCCTATCCTGTAGGCAAGCCGAGAACAGCCATCAAACCTTGATTTTTTTTTTTTTAGATTTCTGATGAGGACTTCTGTATTCTGCTCAAATATTTGGAAGGCTTAAAGGGAACAGCCAAAGACAAGACAATTGAAATGGCGGAGCAGAGAATCGATAGTGGCACAGGTACATACATGTATTCTCTCTTTCTAAACCTGAGGTACTTTTTGAGCCTTAAAGGTTCATGCAAACTGATTGTTTGATGGACTGATATTTTTTTATTACTGCTTTTGCGTCATTTGTGATTGGCTAACTAATTTCACGCCACTTTTTTTTAACCAATAACAAGTAAAACGAAAGCCCTCTGTGACACTTTTTCACGCGATTTCCCGCGTTTGACACCGCTACCATCTTGCTGGTTTTTGATTGGTTTGTTGGATTGGCCGCATATATTTGGTTTGTTACTTTGGGACAGCAGTACACGAAATGTTGATTACGTGAAAAAGTGATAACACTACATTGATAACGAAGAGTAAATTTGTACCACAAACACAAATTTCTCTTGATACTACTTGAAAACTCCACTTCTGATGTTCAATGTCATATTTGGATTGAAGTTTGAATAACGAAATATTAGTGTTCTGGTTCAAGTAATTACCCCCGCCCTTCGAATTAGAGCCCCCATCTCGTCGAAGAATTTAAGTTTTCGAAAGCTTCCAGGACACTAATTTACAGTACTTTGGTTTTAGTTTTTATGTCAGGAAATTTATCGAATTTAAAACTGTGGAAACTGCCATCAAATTGAGAGAAGCCTAAAAATAACCACTTAAAACATAAAAAGAAGATATAAACAACACAACAAATACAAAAAATGAAAGAGACAAATGGAAAAACTTAAAGAAGATTAAAACGTATTGCAGTTGTGATTTGGGAAACTTGTTCAGGGCCTAACAGTTTTGTAAAGGTCGTTCATGTTTTGTAACGTTTGATATAATGCTTGGGAGACATAACTGTTTGACAAGTTTGAAGCTGAAGTGATTTCGTAATTTTCAGCAGTTTCCTCTCCCGGCAGCGTTAAGTTCCCTAGTAAATGAGGACACGTCATTGGCAATATATTAGAGACCTTTAGATACACCGTTTTCGTGTACGGTTACGGGTAAATTACCCGTAAACTGCCGCTTTTTAGCCCATCCGCTTATAAGCCCCCCCCCCGGTTATAGGCCCACCTACATGTAAACAAGAAAATACATCCGATTATAAGCCCATCCGGATATAAGCCCCCCCGTGTTGTTACAGTTTTGATTTTGTTTTGAAATTTAACTGAATTCGATTTATTTCTGCCTTTTTAAGGCTTCAATTGTAAGAGTAATAAATTTAAATCATACGTCGATCAACAGTGCTGTTGCTCATTTCGAAACGTTTTTTTCGTCCACTTATAAGCCCATCCGGATATAAGTCCTCCCGTTTATAAGCCCACCTAAAACCCTTTATGAACTTGTATAAGCCTAGGGCTTATAAGCGGCAGTTTACGGTACCCGTTCACGTAGCCGTAAATACGTGTAGATTGCCTCTTACCCCGCGGGAGAAACGGGTAGGCTACCGGTTAGGATAGTTACGCCATTATCGCATCTGGGAAATAATGGTTGCCTTTTATAAAACTACGAGGCAAATATGTTCGCTTACCCGTACCCGTACGCTTAAACGGTGTATCTTAAGATCAGTATTAACACAAATCAACTTTAAAGATGGCCGAGACGTAGCTCCTTTAAAGCACTCAGTAAGTAATCTTGTCTGATATGTACGCTGCTCACCTTGTTGCTATTTTGTGAACAGGCGAGCAAGATGCTGTGGTGGAATCACGAGTGCGACAAGTTCTTCAGCTGTTAACGAAGTAAAATTAATTCAGCTGTTCAAGATCTCTGCTGCCAGATAGAAAGAACCATTGCCCCCTGCCGTGGTACGAGCTGACGACGACCGTGAGCTGACAACCTCGTTTCCAGGATCCTCTCCTACTCGTCCCTCAGAGCGAGAGAGCTCCGGGGGGACTTTAGGAGAGGATCCTAGAAACGAAATTGCAGGAGCTGAAAGTAGAACACCGTATTTATTCGAATAAGCGCCCAACCTCGAATTAGCGCCCACCTCGAATAAGCGCCCATCCTAAAGGCAGAAAAAGTTAATAAGCGCCCAGCCTCGAATAAGCGCCCACTCCACCCCACCTCCCTCCCACTCCCACTTAAACTCAAGTAAGCACCCCCCCAAATTGAATAAGTACTAATAAGAGACTTCCCCGAAGACGGAGTTTTCTACAAAGTATTTTACAGGAACCTTGCCTTGTTACGTCTTCGCGTTTTGTCATTACCATTTATTGTTTTGTTGCAAAATAAACCTACTACACTTGCTGAAAATGCTGAAAATTTAATAAGCGCCCAGCCTCGAATAAGCGCCCACTCTCAAGGTCCAAAAATTTAATAAGCGCCCAGGGCGGTTAATCGAATAAATACGGTAGCCTGCGCACATCGCTTTCCACGCCACAGGGAACATTGCACGGGAAACAACCGCGCAAGAATCATTAGCAACAAACCTTCTATAATGACTGAATCTGACAATCTTCTGCCAAATCATCCTCTCACCTCCCCTCACAATGCCCTCATTCCTCCCCCCAATATCCATGAGACATAAGAAGACTGACCAAGACTTCGTTCCAAGGAGCTTCTCCTCGTAATTTCCGAGCGGTAAAGGAAATAGTCGGCTGGACTGATTGTGGTTTTAAGAAGAAACGCTTTGATGCATTAACGCTTTAATTGACTGGATATAACCAGACTTTTACAATAGTACCAGACAATAGTACACTACACATGGCCGCGAAGGCATGGGCTCCTTCTCCATACTACGTAAAACTGAAACAACCTTACCAGGCAACAGACACAGATGACAGACACGATAGCAACTAAGTTATCAGCTGATTTACGCTTTGTTACGTATGCATTTCTTATTCATTGAACAAAGAATATTCTTCTTCTCGGCAGGACATGTCTATTCCACTTTAGACCGCGTCTTGTGATACTTTTGTAATTCACAACCTCACTTATGAAGTATTCTTCGTTCTAAGCATGAAAAATGTTGAAGTTTTCTGACTCAGTTTTTGACATTAGCGTAACATAAATCATCCGTTTATCACTAAGATATCTTTCATTTTTGTTAAAAACATGTAGTAAAACAATAACAATAAAAGGGGGTGGTAGGCCTACTCGACTTTTACCTCATGCCAAAATGCTGCTCGTTCCAATAAAGTTTTTTTCCTCTGCTGGGTAGATTATGCTCTGGAAGGTTCTACATTTTCACTGAGCAAATGTGATTTTTAACCGCATGTTTCACGGCTGAGAGGTCATGGCACAGATATCGATTTACTGTGCCGGCAGGATTTGTCCTCTGATGCAAGCGCATTTTCTTTGTCTTCGTCAAGTCTTGAACAGCCATCGTTGTTTTTTTGGAAATTCGAGGGTCTATTTATTTATTTTTGAGCGACGGTAGAAAGATGACTCCGTCCCCAGAAACGGTGAGTGATCTATGATCCGATTTATGCAGGCTTACCCATTGGTAATTACATAGTTGGATGCTTAAGGCTATTTCACTTAGCGTCCAAAACCGAAATTTCGTTTTCGTCAAAGAAAATTCCATCAAAAAATAGGCAAAGAGGAAATTTTGCCTGATCCAGACGGTCTCCGCAAGTTGCTCAAACGTCCTTTTCAGTGGACCAAATTCTCCACTAACGGGGGTAAAGATGGGGGACGGGAAAGCGAAACATTTGACAACAAATTAAAATTCCAATTAAGTCTTGAATTTAAATAGTACAACTAATTATTTTAAACGAAACATTTTTCGAAGTTCCGCCTGACTTGTAGCTCAGCCAAGAAACAAGAATGTTTCATGTTACTTGAGTTTGTGTGGACAAGACGGTTTTGCGCTGTGCCCGGGCCATAATGTCGATAAAAACAGCTAGCTGTATCGCAAAACTGAGTGAAGGAGACAGAAAGGTGAGAATGGGGATGAGGAGTCTAATTCTCGTTTAGTAGCCTTGCCTTGTGCTCGCCTTATGGTTTTAAGTTTGCTAATTTCTAGCTTCTTGCTCTAAGGAGAAAAACTATACACATACTCTTCACTGAATCAGTTGCACAGAAGTATTGCCCCTGAAAGCCATATTTTGTGAATTTGCAACTTACACCATCAACAAAGCTCGTGCGGGTAGAGGAAGTAAAAATCCATCGGTTTAGAGCGGATTCATTCTGTCGATAAATTTGTTGAAATTAAAGACAGTGACTGTACTTAAGTGATCAAAAGAGTGCGACCCTTCTAATACTTCAACGTTTCCGCTTAAAGAGACTTGCTCGAGGATGATCTTATTTTAAAATGATTATAATTGAAATAGTGGTATGATTGTTAGATTTTGTGATCATAGCCGCGGTTAATTGATTCGGCCATGCTTGAGAAGGGCGACAGGTTGCTTACAAACAGACCTAATCCACGACAATTGCCAGAAATTGCGTCACTCATAGCTGAGTTATTGGCACCTCACATGTTGGAGAGAAACGCTTGCAAACATCTTCCTTTAAACACGCTTTTAAACTAAATAGCCGATTAAAAAGAATAGACAGATCGATTTTACATGGCTCTTAGCCAAGTGGAACGTGATTAAAATTGTAAGTTTCAAAGGCTTTTTAAAATAACTTTAGCAGGTTCTCATTTTGCCGTCTTGTTTTGGCAGCAGACAGTTTGTGTCATACAGGACGGATCCGAGTAAACTTGTAAATAGGCAAACGGGAAGTCTAGCTACAGGGGCATCCAACGACTCTTTTCTGTAAAATATCTGTTCGGAGAAGGAAAATTGCCGAGAATTTTCTCTAGCTTGAGTGAAGGCTAAAAAATTCTAGATACGGACCTTTCCATTCGTGTATAATTTCCGAAGGTTATCTATTGAATTCCGTACGATTTTCTTAAGTTAATTTCTCGCATTTCACTTCCCAGGTTAAGCTCTTTTTTAGAGAAAGAAATCCTAAAATTTTCGGATTCGAAAATGTGATGGGAAAGGAATACTGAAAAATTCTCACTTTTGAAAACGTTCAATAGCATATAAAACGTTCGGGAAAATAACACGGAAGCCCTTGTAATTTCGAGAAGACGCAAGTTGCCCTGACCGAACAGATATAAATTTATAGCGCCGCTTAAAATGCATTTTTAGAGATCCAAGAGTACTCTGGATAGCCTAAGGGCCTGTTTACTTGGATGTGGAGGACCCCATGTCCAGTAGATAGGTGAGGTAACATGTGGCGGGTCACCCCACCTATCATGTATAACGTGATCAAATTAAAATGAGAGATTGTATCCCCCACCTCCATGTAAACAGGTCCTAAAAAGCATTTTCAATGCCGTCCGGTTAGCTCAGTTGGAAGAGCGCCGGTCTGCTGACCGGGGGGTCGTGAGTTCAAACCCCGGCCGGACCATCAACCAAGGTCTGTGAAAAACTGGTGAGATCATGCTAGCTGTGAAACTCCTTTCTCAGTTCAGAGGCGGTGACCTTGTCGCCTTCATCCCTGTACTTCAGTTGGAAGAGACGTAAAAGAACCCGTGACATTGTTCGAAAAGAGTAGGGGACGTAGGCTCCGATGTCATGGTCTATCTGACTTGTGCTGTCTTTGGTCTGGGTGGGCGTGGTGTGATCAAAACATGGACTGAAGTGGGTGCAAGAGTGCGCCTTTACATGCTGACGTCCGATCTCACCTCTCTGGTTCCTCCGCAATTCAGCCATTGGCTGCAAGTGAGGAAAGTTGGTACCGCATATTTTTTTCAAGGAAGAACCGTCGATGGGTGCCCCTGTAGCTAGCGCTCCCTTTGCTTTTACGAGAACGCACGTGGAACTGGAATATATGTGACAATCCGAAGTATCTCGATCCTTATCAGTCCTTATGGCACAGCCTCGTCCCCAGGTCTTCTCGTTTTCCAATATGGCGGTGGCATATTGCTTCTTGCATTAAGTGATTCAAAAGATATGCGACGTGACCATTTTTTTTTAAACCCTTGCAGACTAACCTGACCTTATGAAAAAATTTCGAAAACGCTATGTTCAAAGATTTACAGTAAATGACATTGAATATTTACAACCCTACCAAACGACTATGTGGGAAAACGTCACGTCAAAGGCCAACTGTAGTAGCCCGGGGGGAGGGAGTACTCCCTTATATAAGCCATATAGGTATGTGCCACCCCATCGGGTAGGGTTTTTGCGCCGTTTTAGTCTGAAAACGGGTATACACTTTGCCCATTTTGGTCTGGAATCGGGTATGGTTTTCGAGGGAACTACGAGAGTGTATGAACGTATTTACCGTTTCAATTCCAAATGAGTAAGAAAGAAGGAGAAATATGCGAATTCGAAACGGATTTGAATAATTTTTTTGTTTGCACTCTAATCTAAGTAATGATAACATAGTTTCTAACTAAAGGCCAGGTCTGAAAACGGGTATGGATTTTAGAGGTCTTGTCTGAAAACGGGTGTGGATAATTACATTTTTTGGTCTGAAATCGGCGTGATCCGGATTTGAAGAACCGGGCGGCACACCCCCACCAAGAATTCCAAGAAGTACCCCCCCCCCGGGTGTAGTAGTCTCTATTTTTCAAAACTAAAGCAACTGTAGAATTCGAGTTCATCATTCGATACAAACAAAAGTAGCGATAGAAAAGGGTGCTAAATACTCAAGTAACAAGGGTTGTTTTTGTTTTTTTTTCTCGAAAGTACGGTAGTCCGGAGGCTTTTGTTATCCTTCACTGAGTTAACTGTCTGCAATGCCGGAAAAAAAACCGTTTCTTTATATTCGTATTGTCTTAACTGCCATTTTTTATTTTATTTGTGAGGATGATCCCGTCTTGGAAATAGTTAAAAATCTCTCCAACGTTTTGGGGATTCAAGGTGGCAGTTACGCGAGCAGAATCATTCTGGAACAAGAAAAAAAAAAAGCCTGTAGGCTTGTACAGACTATAATATCATACTCAGAGTACCACATCATTTTAGTTCCTGATCATAATAAATTTCCTTACTTGTGTGCAACAGATAGGCTTATCATTTCTCTCGTTGTGTACCTTTATTAAAAAAAATAGTTCCACAAAGATAACAATTTTACGGTTTAACATCCGCACGCGTTCGAAACCGAGGATTTCTCTAATTTTTCGTTGAAACATGATGCACTTAGCGGCGGCGGATCGATTTAATGTTCTTGATTAAAACAGTAGAGAGGAAAAGATAAAGACATGACTTATTTCTGTAGATCTGTGTAAATTGACGTAATATAACGACGCAAATAGGTACTAATAATATTGCCAGAAATTAAATTTAAAGGGCTGCAAAAATGCGGGGGCGACAACCTATATAAAACATGTCAGCTATTAAGCGGGTCTTATTTCTGTTATTTCTTTTATTCTCTCATTAAAAGAACCAATCCTCTGAGATTATTTGCTTATTTTTGTTTCTTTTTAGTCTTCGAACAAAGTTTTCTCTTTTGCATTGGCGTAAAACGAGGAAAATCTTGGTGCTATAGTTTTTGTCAGCTTCACAATTTCTTGCAGTTTCTCTGAATAATTTGACTGGAAGTACCCACGCATTTATTTTTCGACGTCATATTGACGTCATAGCGCAGCAGTTATTGGATAAGTCAGTGTGACGTCACGCCAGTTCTTCTCCGAACGGCATTAGCAGCAAAAATGGCGTCGAAAAAGGAGGATGGAGATGCAGCAGCGCTGAGACAGTGTGAAGTCTATGTCGAAAAACATAATATTCAAGCTATTCTTAAAGACTGTATCGTGCAGCTGTGTATTAAGAAGCCGGATAACCCACATAGATTTTTTCGAGAATATTTCGAAAAGCTAGAGAAGGTGTGTTGTGTTTTTAGCTCCGTCCATAATCGAAGCTTTGTTCCACCGACATTTTCTTACTGGTATTTCTCCATGATATTTGCCTTAGAAGCCCGGTAGACAAATAAACAGCAGGCCAAGAACCTTATGTATTTTATTTCCGTTAGGAACATGAGGCAGAGCCGCAAGACTATAGCGAACCTGAACAAAACCATGAAATCGAAGATCACCTCGGGCCTGTTGGCGGCTTTCCTAAAATGAAGCGTCGCGGTGCTGTGAGCGCTGGGCCAATTTCTGAAGATGAAGCAACGTCGTACGTGAAAAAGGTAATTTAGACGAAGATTTTTTATTACATCTTTGAGAAAACTGAGCATTATTATTTTCAAAAAAACAAAACTGATGATGGTTGACTTGAATGTAGGTTGTTCCGAAAGATTACAAAACCATGGCTGCCCTTTCGAAGGCGATTGCGAAGAACATCCTATTTTCTCACCTGGACCAAGAAGAAAGGAGGTCAGTGCGATGAAAATATCACAGCTTTTAAAGCTACCTCTTCTTAAGAAAAATGGCTGATCGTAGTTAACGAATGATGTTTTTCTATTCGACAGCGATATCTTCGACGCCATGTTCTTGGTGAAACACAGTGCTGGGGAAACTGTAATCCATCAAGGTTAGAATACAAACGCGTTGATATTTTTTAAGATAGTTCTGTGTTGACTTGACTTTTACATCTTACCTATCACAAAACGTCCCTTCTCAGAGGATTGTACAGGCCAACAGTCTTGTTCTGTATCGATTTTCTTTTTTGTACAGTACGCTGTTATCTACATTTTTTAGTTTTATAATGTTCTGTATGCAGTAGAGCGTGTTGCACTGGAGCTCGACGTTTCAGTACCTCAACCAAATTTTCTTTTTTGCCGTTTTAGGCGACGAAGGAGACAACTTCTACATCATTGACAGTGGCGAAGTTGATGTAAGCATAAGTATTTCTCTCGTCTGTTTACATATCTTCAGGTAGCTGTAAACAGTTGATGGAGCGGTATTACCTCACACAAGACATTCTTTTTTTTCACCTTAGCCTTTCAAGAATCCAAAGTTCTATTCAAATTTGTGTGGAGAAACAAAAATTGGATTGAAATTGCCAAGACATTGAATTTTTGCTGACAATTGCTATAATATCAATATATTTCGTGTTACAGTTTGTTTCTTGTCTTTTCTTTTCCTGGTATTTTTTATCATATAGGCTCATATTGGTGAGAGGGATGATATCTCATGTTGGTTTATACAGTAAAACATGTACAGAACAATGCTTTTTTAGCACAGAAACCATCTTTAGTTGTTGGATTTGTTTTGACCGAGATATTCCAAGTCCATGTGATGCCCTTCCATATTTGAAATCAGGAGCTCTTAAACAGTCATCTTCCTTTTCTATCCCCTTCCACTTCTCAGGTTTAAAGGGACAGGGTCATGGTTCAGCGCATGCTCATTGATTAAATCACCTGTCCAATTTATTATTAATTCTATTGGTTAATAAAGCCACTCACAAGTATCTCAGCGATGTCAGAGTGTATTTGAAAGTTGAAGTGTATTTCAGAAACACTTGAAGTAGGATGGAGGAGTACTAAAATTACCAACATTGAACTCATTGTTGACCCGAAGGTTTTATTCCATGGTTGATTAATTTACAGCTATTTGCAAATATTTAAGTTGGTCAAGTGCAAGTGACTGCCAGGGGATTGTGCAGATTGGTTCTTCGACAACATCATGGCATGATCGTATTGATTGCATAGATGATTACAGCATGCCCCCGCAGAAAAAGAGCATTTTGATTAATGAGCATGCGCTGAACCATGAACTTATCCCTTTAAACTTACAGTACAACCCGAGAATAATCAAGTACTTTTTTCCTTGACATCGAAATTTAAAGAAAAGCTTGGTTTTACAATTTTCCAATTCTGTGATGTGATATGTGATGAATACAAAAGAAAATTAATGTTCTTCATCCTACTTGACTAAAATACTACCCTGTGAGCAGAGGCTACATTTTCGCTGTGTGAGCTGGCATGCGAAAAGTAGCCTCTGTCGACAACTGTTTAATTTTCTATCTTGCATGTGTGAAATTTGTCACACGATTTGCAAGCAAAATTAATCGTCAGGTCTGTTGTCAAATGGTGCGGGTTTCATGGGAATGAAAAAATTGTGACAACTCTGATCTGCTATGCAAGACTTAAGCTAGACTCATCCAATGCTCTAAACCGGTCAAGAACATGAAAAAACCTGTTTTTTAAATTTATTTGTCCTGATTTCTGGACAGATTTGCCTCCTACTGATGAACAGTTGGGACACGTAGATATATTTTTTAGCAACTACTATAATTTGCAGTCTGTCTACTTTGAATTGCATGGTTGTTGGTGGAGGCTACTTTTCGCACGACAGCTCACAAAGGGTACTAAACTACCAGCTAGCTTTATGACTCTCTCCAGGTCAGGGCAATATTTTTAATTGAAGGGAGGATAGTAAAGTCTCGTTAATGCTTCATCCAAAAAGGCTTTGAGAATTTGGTGGTACTAATGTTACAGTCCCATCAATGGGCTTTGAAAATGACCAAATGTTTCTAAGTTTCGGCTGAAAGATTGAAGTCGCCAATGGCAACAAGTCGTGTAAACAGGGTGGATTCAAGGTGTACTTTTAGTGTTTCTCTATACTGTGCAGGTGGCCTATGGAAGGTTTATTTTAGGCAACTTCAGGAGTGACTATTTATTTTCTATTTGGAAGGGGGATACATTAGGAAGGATTTGAAATTTCTACTGTGTACTACAACCCCCAGCTTGTACCAATGTGCTGTCATGAATTCACAGTATAACAACCTTGGGATGTGCATTTAGCTATTTGCAAACATTATTACAGTGAGATGTAAGATAAAGTGGGCCCAAGCATGAACATGATTTCACCATCAAGGTGGAGAAATGAAGAAAATGTGGGATATAAAATTCTCTTATTCCTTGTGTTACAACTTCCATGTAGCATTTTTCCTGCAAGAGTGCAATCAAGAATTTGTTAAAATAGTATTTTTTTTGCTAGGTGTTTGTTAGTGACGAGTATGTCTCTACCATTGGGGAAGGAGGGAGCTTTGGTGAGCTGGCTCTGATATATGGCACTCCCAGAGCAGCAACTATTAAGGTTGGTGATACTTAACTTACTTATGATACAGTACTGGATTCCTAAGATCTAAGTTTTGAGAGGCAAGGCAAGGCAAGGCTTCAAGTGACTCCTGATCAATCATCAAATTCTCTGTTTGATGAAGTTAGATGGAGAAGTTATGACATCATTAGTGGGAGTCACATAGGGGAATTTTTTATTTCTTTTGTAAGTGCATTAAGGTCTTAAAATAGAAAGAAGTCGTTACATCATGTTGCCTTGGTAGCAAAATTTTTCAGTAACCACAAATCAAAACGTCACTTAAAAAGTGAATTTTTCTGGGTTGAATCCAAAAGGACCGTATCTAAGTGTAGAAAAAGAGAAAGAAAAATTTGTGTTGTGTGTGCCTACTCCTTAAAGCGGGTGCTTGTAATTAGGAAGTTCCATGTCACAGTCGTGCAACAATGGCTAAGAAATGTACAAAAAAGCATAATGCTCATGCAAAGTTGTTTGCCAATCTAAACCCATTGCTTTTTTGCTATCTGCCTTCGCTATTGCAAAAACTCCCTGTTGGTGTGTGGGGGGGGGACAGGGGGGTGACAACCTCCCACTTCCCGTACCCCGTTCTCCCACCTCCCGTACCTTTTTGTTCCTTTGTCTCCCGACTCCCGCCCTTTACTGTATTTTTCCCGTCATCATGTAAATTAAAAAGATCAGAAGCCCGGGTTTAGTGTTAAAGCTGTAGGGTAATTTGCCAAAGGTGAAAATTGTTACAAGTCAGTTTTCTTAGTTTAACTGAGTTTTCACTAACCTGGTTATCTAGGTTTGACCACCGCTTCTGACATCCCACTACAGCGACAATAGTCTCAGTCCACTGTGCAGTGTAATAGCTATTGCAGTTATCAAAGATGCATTAACATGCATTTAGGAATCCTGAAATTACGGGGATCATGCCAAAATGAAGTCGAAGGGCCAGACGTTACGGTAGAGTTCAGTACTCCTGTCTAGTTCCCAGCGTCTAATTGTACTAATTGCATATCCACGGCGGTTAGTTTTCGTTATTTTTCGTAAGTAGTCGTAAGCTATAAAAACTGACTTCAACGAGACAATAATTGCATGTTCGTTAACCGTTTGCCTTTTAAGAAATAAGCGTTGACAGGCCAAACACGACTCATAAGCTCGTGATAATGTGAAACGTGACCTTGAGAGTCTGCTTGAACAGTGGTTCTCTTTCTTTTTTCTCTCGCGCGAAGGTTACTAGCACTACACAGTGCAAGACGTGTAGCATTCTAAACTTTGACTGAGTAAATCTTGTTTTTGCCGTACTAAGTCTTGTATTTAGAGGTCATGAAGCAGGTTTGTTACATGCATACTGAGTAATCATTTCCTGTGGTTTATGCTTCTGTACTGGGTGTCCCTGACGTGTACATGTGTCACGCCACCTCATTCATGAGGACTCGTGACCTATGATGTAACCGACTTGGAAAGGTTTCCAATTTCACCGGAAGTAATGCTCTTTTTTCTATCCCGAGTGCGAATTTACGTTTTTTGACTTTTCTTGCATTAAAATTTTGATTTAGGGCCTCGGAGAAAGTTAATTGGAAGTCAAGAAAAGTTGTTGGGTTCGTTTCTTTGACTGGATGATGAGCAGTGACAATTAACAAAAGCTTGCCTTTTGGAATTTCTCTCCCGCTTCCCGCCATCATAGAGATCCCGCTTCCCGCCCTTTCTTCTCCCGTCTCCCATACCCCTCCCGCCCCCCTGTCCCCCTCCACTGGTGTGATCCAGAAATTCTGCTGCCATGGTAATGTGAGGTCACACTTCTCTCTATTCCAGTAATTTTTTTAATTGCATTATTGGCTTGGACAGCCTGTGTTTTTGTGAGTTACATTAACATTAGCCTTGGCATTATTTCACTGTGTTGAAAATCCTGATTTGATGCAGTAATTTGTTTGTGTTTATTGTGTAACATCCATCTCATAAGTTTAAATGCCTTCACCTTTCCTCCATCCAGTCCAAGACTGATGTGAAGCTCTGGGCCATTGATCGAGTAACTTATCGGCGAATATTGATGGGAAGTCAGATTCGAAAGAGAAAGATGTATGAACAGTTCCTAGAAAAAGTCAGTATCCTTGAATCACTCGACAAATGGGAGAGGCTCACTGTCGCTGATGCTCTGGAGGCTGTTACTTATGAGGATAATGAAAATGTTGTGGTCCAAGGAGAACACGGGGATGAGTTCTACATAATTGTTGATGTGAGTTATTTCTTCAGTGCTTTGCTTTATAAATATAATCATTTACAATAACTGAGCAATTTTTCACGCATTTATTGGTCAAGAGCTATGGTCAGTAAGAGTACAGACCATTGAAAAAACATATGTGATGGTGGTGAAATTTGTTTTCCCTTTCTTACATGTGCAATTTTCCAAGAAATCTCAGTGGAAAGGGAGATTGAGAACTGTCACTAATTATAATAAAGAAATCAGTTTGAAGTTTGAAGTTAAAGTTTATTTATTCATCAATACATAGCAGTTCGAAAACTGAATTGCACATTTATGTTACATAATAAAGTTGCCCAGAGCTACTGTATTTTTTGCTTACAAGGTGAAGCATTTTTTCTATGCAAGTTTGCTTGATTCTAAATCTGTTGTAATTTTGGGGTGCATCTTATAACCAAGTTTTAGGCAACAAAACAAAATTGAGGCAAATTTTTTACTCAAAAAGCTCTAGCTGCTCATCCTTTTCTTTGTTATTTGTTTTTAAAGGACTAACGAATCATTTTGCATTCGAAACAAACCATCTGGCATTGATCGCTTTGAACTGAATGCTGATGCTAGGTAACCAGGCAAATTTTTGAGCACGTGCTTGACCTTGTTTAAACTGGATTACCATTTCAGTCATAAAAACTGCTATCAATATGGGTCCTGTGTAAAAATAAATGAATAAGTAGATAACCTTTTTCACTGTTGTTCACATAGGTGAATGGTGGTAATCAGTGTCTTTGGAATAGTTAAGGTGCCCATCGCCAAAAATCAGCAGCTGTGCCTTATAGCTGGGTATTTGGCTGTTAACTTAGAAAAATCGCGTGGAATAGTTTGTGGTACGTCTTATAACGAGTGCACCTTTGTGTACAGGGAAAAAAATAAGGTCGGGGTATTCTCACAGAAGCCAATAATTTCGGAATCCTGTCAGGGCCACACAACTTAGAAGGATTGAGTTATGATGTCAACAATTTCCCATGGTCTGTACTCTTATCAATCAAGCAAGTGACGTTAACATGTTCCCCTGTTAAAATGTTTAAAACTTTGCGATGTAAACAGTCACCTGTGATTCATGGTTCACTTGAGTTTTGAACATGTTGATTGTTGTTCATTTGTTTCCTTTCTAATAAGTTAAGATTTTTTGATTAACAAAGTTGTTTTGTTATTTTTTCATTAACACTATAGGGAGTAGCTGTGGTTTTGCAGCGTAGATCACCAAATGAAGATTACATCGAAGTCAGCCGCCTAGGTCAATCAGACTACTTTGGTAAGTGGAATATTCTAAACTATGGTGGTGCCCTCTTGCAGGATCGACATGGGTATCTTCTTTCCATTTTGCTGATACATAAAGCTGCTTCATGGCTCTACCCTCTTTTAAGGCACCTGCCCCAACCTGATTTATTGTTGATGAGTTTAACTCGACCTTGTCCAATTCCCTGCTTCAGAAACTGTAGGGAGAATGCTTACAAGATTTTAGTGCAATGATTTCTGGTATTATTTGGGTTTGGCATTTGTTATGATTGGTTTGTTAGCCCATCAAAACTAATGCTTGTCCACCTTAATGATCCCAGATGTTTTTGTACTGAAAGCTTGTTTCTGGAGTGGGAAATATTGTTTTTGCCAGTGAAACAAGAACATAAATTTGAGTCTTACATTGTTCTAAAGAAGTGTTCTTCAACTTACAAGGGTTTGTAAATTAAGCTGTATGTGACATGACTTGAATACAATATCTGTTCTTGTAGGTGAAATAGCTCTGGTGCTTAATCGACCTCGTGCTGCAACAGTGCGAGCAAAGGGAACCCTCAAGTGTGTCAAACTGGACAGGCAGCGGTTTGAACGAGTGTTGGGTCCATGTATTGACATCCTCAAGAGAAACATTCAACAATACAACAGCTTTGTCTCTTTAGTTGTGTAAAAACGTTAGCATATCAAGTAAAGAAATGTGTGAAAAAGAGATGCATTGCATAAAACAGATATACAGTACTTAAGATACCCTGTTGGTCATCTCAATACTATGACAGTTGGGTCAGGGTCATATAAATATGTTTTTTAAGTTATTAAAGTTTGATTTGATTAATGTCTGTCAAAAAAATGGTTTCCCCATTGTTCAGCATTGCTTTTCTCTTTTTTGTTCTTGTTGTTGCTAGAAAGGAAACTTTATTTTTTGGATAACAGCTCAAGCTCTACTATGTGATGAAAGCTATGCAATGTCTGCTTCATTTACTGTTGTATTTAAACTTTTGTTTCTTTGGTTTTTTAAACCCTTATGTAAACTGGGGCATGTAATTACTTGTAAAAATATTTTACATGACAGTTTCAAAAATGTGCAAAAGTTAAATGTACATGGACTTGTTTGCAATAGATTAATTATGAACACAAAGTGATTATATCGGCAGAAGTATAGACAAGAAAGCGGTGATTTCCTTATCGAGTTTTAACATTTTGTTAGTGTAAAAGACCAATAAGAAGAACTTGTGATCAAAGTCTACTATCACTGCAGTGTGCATTAGAGTTCTTCAGTGTATTATTAATAGGCTTTACTTGTAGCTTACAGTGTTTAAGTTGTTTCTGAATATTATTTATTTAAGTTTTATCGTGGTTTGTTCAAATATGGTAAACATGTGCTATGTGACTTAGTAATTTAAAATAAAAATATCTATATCAAAACATGATTGAATTTGGTGTTGATAACTTTACAAAAAAAAAACTTATATTGGCATGCATATCATTAATCCTATACTGACAGTTCTCCATACTTTTGAAATAGTTATGGGGCCTGCAAAGGGGGATTTGTATAAAAAGTATGAGGCCTCATGAGGCCTTGTACACAAGTATCCAACTATTTTTGAAAACAGCACCACTTGTATTCTTTCAGATCAGGTAAAGCGTCCATAAATTACAGCCTTCATGGTTAACTCCATTGCCACTGCTTTTAGGTGGTTGTAGCAGTGTTGCTAACATTGGATTTTTTCTTCTTTTTTGCTGCCTGCGTTGGTTGGTAGCGAGGCATTCAATCTTGGCATTTTTGTAGTAAGTGGAACTTCTCCTGAGCTTTTTTCAATTAGCCACGGCTTCCGTTTCAGACACTTGACACCTTTCTGTTTCTCTCAGTTTGAGATAACTCTGTATTAAGCTTCTGTGATAGCCCTGTAGAGGTTTCTATCATTACCTCTGCTGCACTTATGCCAACTCTATCGCGCTCTATCTGTCGACCACAGACCCCCACAGTCAACTAACAATCCACTGTGCACCACCAAAAGTTAAGAGGAAGACTGGGTGCAAATTTGAGGAGCATTTTTTTGCAAAAACCTTTGTGACCTCAAAGTTTCCTGAATTGTGGATTTTTAACTACCAGTCAGACATTTATTTAAATTTTTAAATATTTCTTGAATTTTCCATGAAAAAGGCTTAAACTATAGGAAAATATAGGAATTTGCCCAATTTATAGGACTTTACAGGAGAGGTCTTTAGAAAAAGGATTTTATAGGAATTATATAGGACTTGCTTGACACCCTGCTATAGGGTACAGAACCAACTTCGTGTCTTGAACAAGTTGTGCGAAAACACAGTTTATTTGAAGCAACCTCAGTTCCATGCAATGCTTTTCATCATAATCATTATCAGATCCTTGTCCCCATGTGGGAATCTTCCTTCGCCAACGGTCTCCTTTATCCAAAAAACAGTAGAAACCTCAACCCACTACCCCAGCCCTCACCGTGTATGTCTCTTTCCCTTGCCTTCTGGCTACCATGCAGAGATGATGGGTGAAATAGCTTATAGTAAAAAGAGTGGTATTCATTCACAGAGTTCCAATTTTAAAGTAGACAGCTAGGGCGTAATGTAGGTGACTTAGTAGTTGAGTGCAGCAGGCAATTTTAGGCTTCACTTCCTTACCTTCCCCTTTTCTCTTCAAAAAGTAGATGGTTTAAACCGGGGTAATGTAGGAGTTGATAACAGAAAACAATATCATTGTTTATCATTATTTCCCATTATTTCACGGTCAGGGTATCGAACCAATTGGCTTTTAGGGTTAGGGAGCTGCTACATGACTGGGTTTAAACCAGCCAGTTGCTGGCACTTAATGAGAAGCCTGCATTTAATTGTGACTAAATAATTCATTATTACGCTTGAATTAAAATAACCTGGTTAGGAATAACAAGAAATAGAAGAAGTATCTACTCTGGGAAGATAGCTTAGAATCAAACACGCAAACATAATTCCTATGATGATGTTAACTGTATGATAAAGAAGACGCGAGGGTCGCCTTCTATGTTTGCCGTGTCCAGTCTTTTTAAAATGTTCTACTACTCCATCCAGAGAATACTTCTTTGGACTATAACCAAGGTGGCTCCGAGCCTTTTTCATGCTAAAGTAATGTGTTACAGCAGTCTTGTAAACCTGTAGGGAGAAAATAGAAAACAGCTTGTCAAACCAAATATAGCCTGCGTAGCAAGCGTTTCCAATCGAGTTATTGCGCGAAAGTTAGAACTAGAGAAAAAAAGATGGAAGGGAGAAGGGGAGGGGAGAAGAGGAATTCCTTCTTTTCCCTCCCCCTCCCCTGTCATTCCTTTTTTTTGCTCTCGTCTCAACTTTCCTGACAAACTCGCGCAGAAACGCTTGCTACGCAGGCTAAACCAAATACTGAAAGTTCACTCATTCAAGAAATTGTGTTTTGTTTGGAGTGTTGTGTAAAAATAGCCTGCGTAGCAGGCGTCGAAAGGGGTAGGGGGTAGGGGATAGAGAGGAAGGGAAAAAGGGGAGGGGGATTGGGGAGAGGGGGAGGGGACTTTCTCCCTCCCCCCTCCCCCTCCCCTTTTTGCGCCTGCCACGCAGGCTATGTAAAAAAGCTTATTGCGCTAAACTAAATAAAATGGCTTAGTTAACCAAAGAGTTATTGATTTCAGTTACCTCTGTTCTGGTAAGCAGCGGTTGAAAGTTATAGATGTATTTTCCAACAACTGAGTGCACTATTTCTGTTATAAATGCTGCAATAAAGAAACCATATTAAATGATTCAATCACTTGACATAAACATGTGAATGAAGTACGTGAAAAACATTACCAAACAAAATCAGATCTGAGATGCTGGTGTTTGAAGTGCTGTGTTGAAAATATATATTAAGTTGTTAAAATGAACACACAATAAAAAATATAGTTTCAAATATATCCCTGGAGTGATCAATGCATAAAATAAATTATGCAGAGCAAAATACAAAAGCAATTAAAGAATAAAAGTTGTAACTCGTAGTTTCACACTCCAACAAAGCAATCATCACACTGAATTGTGTTTTCAGTTTAAAGTTAGAAATTTAAAATTCATGGGCGGTGGGAGCAGTGCGTTAGGTGATTAGTCGCGAAAAACTTGTTTTCATAACAACACCTGGTTGTAACCAGCTCAGATCTTTTGTTGAGAAGCGAAACATTGTAGGCAGCCAAGATACAGAGTTTCTCATGAGAGCCCATCATGTTTACTTTAGGGTTAAATTTTGTCTTAATGAAACTGGGTCACAATATCACGGACCTTAATACTCACCAAAGATATAAATCAAGGTTATGGGTAATTTTAATCTTGGAAAGCTATACCCAAGGCCTTCAACCTGTCAACAACAACGTACAACAACAACAGTTTATTAAGGTATTTTCATTCACATACGTGGCATTACCTATTCTCTTAAAAAAGTAAATAATTATAATTAATTGGTTAAGTCAAAAAATTGAAATTACATGATCATGTCTACAATTCATAGTCTCAAAAATAAAAGCAGCGAGTGATTTACAAATAAATGGATCAATATTGTTGAAAAGGAACAAAATTTTTGATTCCACATCTAAATCATTAAAAAACTTATATATTTGGTAACGATTTCATCAAAAAATTTGTTGCGAAGCGTATCATATAGAGTGCAAGAAAACATAACGTGACATCCATTTTCAACTTCATTGGCTTGACTGCTTACTCCATGAACTCCATGAGTCAATCAAACTCCATGAGTTTGCTTCCTGTTCTGGCCCTGGTTGTTGTTACATAAATCTTAACTTTGGACCTAAACTGTCACTTACTAAAGGTCTGAAGAACTCAAAGTTGTTCATAGGTGAATCATCAGATACAAAGTATGCTTCCCCTGCCTGGAAAAAAAGGTACAGTGACTGTGCTAGTTACACACACAATTTATACAACAGGGCATTTTACAGTTCTGTGCTCAGTGCCCTGGCCTTTGAATAGAAGTGAGGCTGGTGGTGACCTTGTTCTGTTAAAAACCTTCCTGCTTTTCATCGGCAAATCGTGGTATTCTCATGCTACCAAGCCTGTGAACATGATCATTCACATATGAAAAACAAGAAGGTTTGTAACAAAACAAGGTCACCGCCAGCCTCGCTTCTATTCAAAGGCCAAGTCACTGCATGAGCACACAACTGTAAAATGGCCTATTCATACAAATCAAAATACACCATAAGCTGTCAAAACAGGCACATTATTTTACGAAAGGTTTAATACAGTCCAAGCTCTCGTAAGCCGGCACCTGGGAAATTAAAAAAGGTGGTCATAACTAGAGGTGGCCGCTTACGAGAATGAGATCTCATAAGCAACCAGTGGTTATTAAAAACAATAGAGGGTGTCCCTTACTAGGGTTTCGGAACTCATTAATAATTCATGAAGAAAAACAAAAGAAATTAATGTTAAATGAATGTCTTTGTATCTGGTATAGACACAGCTAAACTTTACCTCCAATTTTTCTTTGGACCAAAGTAACCCCAAGATCTTTATCAACAAACCGTTAGTGCAGTGTGCGGTTTTATTGAAGTGTCGATTTATATGAATAAGACTCTGACTGGTCTCTTACGAGAGCTTAAAAACAGAGGAAAAGTCCAGTTGGGTAATCTCAAAGGTAGTTGCGGTTGCTCATAGGAGCAGTCGTTTGCCAGAGCTTTTCATCTGAATGGACAGGTTCACCGTTCAGTGCATGCTCGTTAATCAAAATGCTGTTTTTCGTCCGGCCGAGGCATGCTGTATCGTCTATGAAAGCAATATGATCCTGTCATAATGTTGTCAAAGAACCAATCTGCACACTCCCCTGGCAGTCACTTGATCAAGGTAGGTGCAAATAACTGTGAATTAATCAACCATGGACCCTTTGGGTCAACAATACATTTAACATTGGTAGTGTTGGCATAATCCACTAATTTTTCTGCAATTTTAGTGCTCTTCCATCCCACTTCAGGTTACTCTGAAATACATGCACGTCCACTCTGAGAATACTGAGATACATGTGAGTGACATTATTAACAGATAGAATTAATAATAAATTGGAAAAAAGCAATCTAATTACTGAGCATGCGCTGAACCGTGAACCTTTACTTCCCTTCAAGTTTGAGTCACAATTCAAATGGGGTTTCACAAAGTTACAAAGGTGGTCGTAACCAGAGATAGTCAATAATTACAAAAGTGGTCGCAAGGAGAGCTTCAAAAGTAATAATTTTTCTGTAGTCATTCCAGCTGGAAACTCAACCTTTTACCACAATCAATACCTTCAATGTTGGTCATGTAATGATTCACCCTCCAATATTATGTGTGGGTGGACGGATGGAAGGAGGGCCCGGTGCAAGAGGAAATTGGGTTGGTAATCCTGTGGTTGCATAATTTTTCAGAATGTCAGATACTCACAGCAATTGCATTTTTAGATGCATGAAGAGCTTCTCCTGCTAAAACATGAGCTTGAACCAGATTATTGACATGAACAAAGTCAACCACAGAGTCGCCTTGTCCATAAGTGAAGCTAAAAAGTCCTTGTTCGATGTATGACTGAGAAAAAAAAACAATATTATGCATTTAAAGACATGATCGTCTGGCCATTGGTGAGCATATTGCTCATTAGAACTGTTGTTTATGTAGTGACTGACATCTTGAAAACCTGTGGCATGGGAGTCGACAGGTTGTCAAAACGTCAGTCACTGCCAACCATAGTCCTTGATCCATGCTTCACCTAGTCATGAAATGACTCCAATCCAGAGTTAAAATCTTTGACAATATTATGCATTGGTTAACAAAAATACTGGGTGAGGTATGTGCATCTGTAGCGTAAGAAAGGAAACTTGGCTTTTTTTAGTCAAATCTGCACAGATGCAAAATAACTTTTGGCCAATTACAGGGAGAGATAATTTAAAAAAAAAAAAAATCACTTGCCCTTTCAGCAAGCCCTTGTTAGAGTTTACAAGGGCAACACAGTCATGCAGGCCTACTAAAACCCCCTTTTTACTGACATTTACTTTTAAATGTTGCTTGCCCAGGGACTGTAATATTAAACCCACTAGCCTGATGGGTCATTCTGCTAGCCGCTGGCTATCAGACAGCACATTTGTTGTACCCTGTAATAATGAAGAGATTCCTAGAAAATGGGTGCTTGTGACTGTTTACTAGGTCGTTACGAGCACCTTTTTCTAAAAAAACCCTTCATTATTATTACAGTCAATATACTACCTGCTTTAGAACAATTAATATATTTAATAAATTGTGATTTCATCATTAAAAAAGCTTTAAAAATATTTCCAGGCCCAGTCAGAACTGTTTTATCACGATAAGTGCCCGGGGGATTCCCACTGTTCTCTGACCTCCAGATAGTGCGTCCTGTCACTCAACCTCACTGCCTCTTTGGTAGTTTGTGTATTTATGCATAGCAAATATTTACTCCATAAAATATTCCTTCCTAATAATTAGCTGCTACAGGGACACTGACAAAGAATAGGGATATAATATGGCACTTGGAACAAAGACACCCACAATAAAGAAACATCAATATTCTTGCCTATACACACACTACACTATATTAGTAAAAGCAGTCATTATTCAAAAAGCCCCACTAATGTATAATCTTAATATTATTCAATAACTTAATTACCGGTATCTTACCACAATTCTTGGCAAATGCCGTAATTCACCTTCCCCATAAATACCAGCTGGTCTCAGAGCACATGTCTTTAGACTGTTTCCACCTGTAAAATAACAGAGATTTTAAATAAAGACAACTACTAATGTATTTAAACTGGACTAGTCTGTAAGGTGACGTTTATTAAGGCAAATACTTGGGAATCGTGTGTAACTGTGTCACAGGGCTCTCACCAAGATTTCAAGTTGCTGGGTACAGCACTGTACCTGTAATTAGTAGGTGGGGTCCAATTTATTAAACAGTTAGTTTCCTATGACAGTAGCAATATTGTAAAATTAGAATGAATATTATTTATTATAAGGGCAATTAACAGCAAAAATATTAAAACTTCAATGCAGAAATGACTTAACTTTGAAGTTAGAAATGAAACTTGAATTTTTTGATAAACAGTTTACATACAGATCACAATCTTTTATTAAGTTCATAGAGGTAAATAGTAAAATATATTAGTAAGCTCATTCAGTAAGTTCATAGATCCAAAATGGCAGGATGGAATTTTTACCTTGTAGTTGTAAGCCATTAGCACTAAGAATAGCCTGCTCTGCTATAGACTTTGTTCGTGAATAATGATCTGGATGCTGATGCAAATAAAATGACAATGAATATAAAATATATACATATATAAAATATAAAGAATATGTTGTGGTCCAATTTTGTCCTTGGTTTAAATTTTATTTTTCTTTGTCTTTAGGTATGATAATGTAAGATATTTATGAGTTTGAAACAAAAGAAAATAAAATTCAAACAAAGGACAAAATTGAACCACAACAAATATGTCAATAATATTTCACATATAATTTGTACATGTACAACAGAATGAAGAAGCAAGGGAGGAGGAGCAAGGGATGGTGAAGTGGTGAGAGCCGTCGCCTCCCACCAATATGTGGCCTAACGTTCAAATTCCAGCATCGATGCCATATTTGGGTTGAGTTTGTTGTTGGTTCTCTCCTTTGCTCCAAGAGGTTTTTCTCCAGGCACTCCGGTTTTCCCCTCTCCTCAGAAACCAGAATTTCCAAATTCCAATTCCACCAGGATTTAGGTAGACGAAGAACCACTTTGTGGATGTACTACCTCCAAATCATTATTTATTTTATTTTATTCATTTAAGAATTTAAATGCAAAGAAGATCATTGCAGTTTAAGACAACTTAAAAAACACTTGCCAAGAGAAAGCCTGAAAGCCTGTGTGATACTGTTGAAGCACTCTAACCAATAGGGTTTATAGATACTGATTAGATAGTGATATATGTTCACTTTCTTTAAATATTTTTTTTCAGATTAGCAAATTCAGACCTGCAAAATGAGAATTTGCTTTTCAAAATTGTACTCTGTTCATGGACTGCAAATTGATTAATCCAGGGCAAAAACAGATTTAGCCACATAATAATAATTATTGTGATCTCTCATGTTAATATATCCCTATTACAAAAATAATTTACATGAACTAACCTTATCTAGTGGTAAATAAGGTAAAGATTCATCCCCATTTTGTATTATCTGTCCACCAAACACCACATTATAAGTACTGGTATAAACCAAGTGTGCCACATTGTATTTGCAACAAGCTACAAACAAACAAGCAGACTTTTAATCAATGTCATCTAGAAGTTACAGTTTTAATGTACCTGCGCAAAAGTAAATACAGATCATTGTTTGCAAGACATATTAATTTCCTGCTATTTTCTGAACACTCTACTGTCTCAAAGAATCAGATGCTTTAAAGTACATGTGTGTTTTCTCCTGGTTTGCCATTTCATTAACGCCCAAGTCTACAGTGTAAAATCATTTTAGAAATTCCTAATAGTTCAACCCTTCAAAAGTAATAGAGTAGTAGAAATACCGGTCAGCTCTCCACATTTACAAACATATATGTTTAAGGAAGTAAAACATAAGATAGAAGTGAGAGTGGTACTGTAATGGATGGGTGAAGGTTGATCAAGTAAGAAAGAGAGGTGTGAATCAGGATGTTGAGAGTTAAAAAGACACAGCTTTTAATTCATTACAAGGCTTTTTGGTCACAGTTCAAATGGGGTTTCACAACTCATAATGAGAGCTGGTCATTTGTAAGAGTGTCTGGTCCGAAGAGCTTCAACTGCATTACATTTCAGTTTGCATCTTCAAGTGTTTGTTTTCCTGTGGTAAATAAATAACAAGCACAATAATATTATAATTTTGTAAGGAATTATATCTGACCTTCAATGACAAGTTTGGTTCCTAAAACATTCACCATCTCTATCTTCCTTCTGTTTAACTGAAAAAAAAAATGTTACAGTCTAAAAATTGAGGAGAACATGTTGTTTTGGCCATGTTTCCTGTTTACTGGCATGAAAGAAATGGTAGTTTTAATTTTCATACAAAATAGGTCTGCTGGTAATCAGGCGAGCTCTGATGTCTCAGCCTTTACATATTTTACACTTGATGACTAAGTTTGATTTTATGGCAATACAAAATTTACCCTGTGAGCAAAGGTTTCTCTCTTGCATGGCTTTTAACGTTACCAAAGTCATTCACGTGCCTTATCAGTTCTGTACTTGGCCTGTTTTATACACAGGACGTAAACAAACCAACTACGTGACAGACAAGCCATGTGAACGACTTTGTAAATGCTACAAGTCCTGCAAGCAAGAAACCTCTGCTCCATCTGAGGTATACAAAATTAAGCTTATCTGTTGGAATCAACTGCAGACTGCCTGATCCTTGTTTTCACTTCTAAAAAAGGTTTGAACCATGATCTTCCACCCCTTAAAACACATACCTGTTCTCTGCCAGACATTCCATATGATGCACAATGAAATACTGTATCAAACTGATGGTTACTGAATAATTGTTCCACATCTTCCTTCTGGGTTAAATCTCCCTGAAAACATGCAATCATTTGAGTAAGCATTGAGCACAAAGACAACATAAATCCCTATAAGATTCAAAAAAGATAATTCTTAAAAGGACTTGGTTCCTTGAGTTCTGTGTGCATAATAAAAAATTTGACCAAGCATTTACAATGCCCAGACATCCAGTCCACGTTATTTATGTGTGCATTTCAGATATCAAACAGGCATGTCTATTTTTTTACCAATTATCTGACAGGCTATTTGTTAAAACACACTGAATAGTGAATTTTCTAAGGAAAAATAAAGGTAGGTACAAAAGTCGGACCGGATCAACTCGGACCGCCAGTCCGGGTCGGATCAACTCAGATTGACTCAGACCAACCCGGATCGAATAAAAAAATAAAAATAAAATAAAATTGGACTCGGATCAACTCGGATCATAAAAAACAACAACAACTCGGATTATAAAAGGAAAAATAAACTCAGTCGGTATCACTTAACTTTCACCCGCCATTTTGTTTTTTTCTCACGAACTCATGGTTGCGTAAATTAACTTAATTTTTATTATTATTAATTTTAATGATATACTAGTGAGCAGCACACATACACTTCCAGTGAACATTTTCAACTTGGAAGGAGGAGAAATCATATTCGCCCGGGACAAAGAAAATTTTCGTACCCCAGGCGAGAATTGAACTCATGACCCTCCGAATACTACATGTTTATCGGACGTTCCAACGACCGGAGGGTCGCGAGTTCGATTCTTGCTCGGGACATGGAAATTTCCTTTGTCCCGGGCGAGCATGGTTTCTCCTCCTTCCAAGTTGAAAATGTTCAATGGAAATGTATGTGTGCTGCTCACTAGTGTATCATTAAAATTAAGTTTCAGAAGTCCTGCAGAAAAAAAACAAACAGGAACAAACAAACAAACACTCTTCGGTAACTATCTAAATTCGGTCAGCAGACCAGGCTTTTGATGCTTTTCATTGAGAAAGATGGTCGAGATTTTACCTTCCTCGAGGTCATCCATATCCGTGAAGCAGAGCGCGTCGTGTAACGCAACCACAACCACGAGTTTATAATATGATCTGAGAGGAACTGGCACTAGTAAAACAAAATGGCGCCTTAAAGCCACGGAGAAAAAAAGGATGATCTGGCCTTTTTTACCCTCCAAATGGGTTAAACTTTCAGTTTTGCTGATTTAATTTAATTTTTTTGATTTCTCCGAGTTGATCCGAGTCCAATTTTATTATATTTTTGTTTTTTTATTCGATCCGAGTTGGTCTGAGTCGATCTGAGTTGATCCGACCCGGACTGGCGGTCCGAGTTGATCCGGTCCGACTTTTGTACCTGCCTGAAAAATAATAACCACTATAGAGGAGAATTAACATGTGGCGAGGTGAATTGCTTCTTACATGGCATTTCAACAAAGACGACTGCTGTTTTGGCAATGTTATAAAACAATATGGATCTTGCTTTTTGCTGTGCATACATTGAGTACCAAAGCGATTGTAGGAAGTTTGGAAAGCACTCAAGAGGAAACTTCCTGTGTGCTTCACATCTCAATAAAAATCATTGTCAAGGCTGTGCTCTAAAAAAAACTTTAGGGAGCTCAGTGCTCTAAACTGTGAAATCCAGGGTGCCCAGCATATGATTTCTATAAGAAAAAAAAGTACATGTATTCCTTGTCACCCAAGATGGTACACAGGCCACCATACAAAGATAGATTCTGGTCAAATTTGCTTTGTGGTTAAATTTTTTTAACCTGGGTTGATTCTCAATTTCCCTTGTCTCCTAGCATGTATTAGGGCTAGGAAACAATGGATATTGAGAATCAACCTAGGTTAAATCAAAATTAACCTGAAATCAAATTTGACCTGAAACATGTATTGTGATGGTGTCCACCCTGATGTCATGTAGTGTGTGATGTCATGGAGCATTTTGTGTTTCCAGTTACAGTTTCCTCAGTTAACACTGAGGAGCATCTAGCTTGCTTTGGCCATATTTCTATCTGTTTGCCATGGGTTTTTTAGCCGCCGTTTTAGGAGTTGGTATGTGCTCTTTGCAATGAGTTTTGAATGCAAAAAGTATTTTTACGGGCAAATGGAAGCAATAATATTGTGAATAATTGGCCATTAGATATGAGCAAAAATCAAGGTAACAAAACATGCCTTGCTCGCAGGCGAGTTTATATCATATCGACTTAGCTGGCCATCTAATCTTTAAATACGATGAAATAAGTTTATGTTGGGTTTTCATGGTCAAAACAGCAGTCATTCTTCTGAAAAGTATCTTTGAATTTGTGTTTAAGAGGGCTCAATCAACTTTATAAAGGGCAGCTGGCAGAAGTTCTAGGGGAAAGGCTTATAATAAAATATTGTTGTTGTCTTCACAGTGTGTTTCACGTGGCATAGTGGAAACAAAACAGCCTTCAGATTCCAGGCAATATCTGTTTTCCTTCTTCTCTTCTTTTCTTTTACTTTCAGTTTTCTTTTAAGCTATTGTAGTCTTATCTTGTTTCTTTATATAGCTTAAGTTTTTTTAGTTATAAATTTTCTTTCCCATTGCCTTATTTCCTGCGATTCACGTATTTCTAGCAACAGTAAGAATAGCTGAGCCTGATCGGTATGGGTACCTGTGGATGTCAAATCAAGTTTCTGTCAAATTGTGGGTTTTTTAGGTCAAATCCTCACATATCAAGAATTTTTGCATGGTAACGCTATTAGCTAGCAAGCTCAGCACAGCTACAACAATGACAAAAATGAGAAAATACGCTTTAGCAAAAACTCTGAACATTCATCACACTATTTGACAGGTTTCTTTACCATCATTGCACGACTAACGTAGACAAACTTGACTGAAATGGCAATGCGATTGTCATTTTAATCTAACAATTGTTCCTTCATCAAGCAATCGTTGTGACTTGGATTTTGTAGGAAATACCCATAGAGAAGCTCAAGGTTGGCATATGACAGGGTAGCAGTAAGTGCCTAATCTAGAAAAGGATAACACCCTTGCAGAGTCCCAGCACTCCCTTTTATAAGCCATATAGGTATGTGCTGTCTCAAAGGATATGGTTTTTGGGCCTTTTTGGTCTGAAAACGGGTATAGGCTTTGCCCATTTTGGTCTGGAATTGAGTATTGTTTTCGAGGGAACTACAGGAGCATATGGACATAATTGATCCTTTCAATTTTAAATGACTAAGAAAGAACTAGAAATATGAGAATTCAAAGTGCATTTGAAAAAATTTTTTGTTTGTGCTCTCATCCCTATTATAATTCTAAGTAATCGTGACATAATATTTCTGGTCTGAAAAAGAGGAAGGATTTAAGAGGTCTGGTCTGAAAAATGGGTGTGAAAAATGAAATTGTCTGGTCTGAAATAGGGTCAGGGTTTGGAGAACAGGATGGCACACTCCCACCAAGAATTCCCTTCCCGGACCAAGGTCCCAAGAACCCCCCCCCCCCCCCCCCGGGGGGGCACTTGGGTATTTTTTGGGTGGGTATGTGCCACCCGGGACTCCAAATTGGCACCCCGTTCTAAAAAAAATATTCCCTAAAATTGATACCCCGTTCTAGAAATGGGCCATTTTTTTACACCCCATTCTAGAATTCGCCCTAAAACTGATGCCCCGTTCTGGAAATGGGCCAATTGTTTATACTCCGTTCTAGAAAGTTTGTGAATTGAAATAGCCCTGTTTTTTTAAAAGGATTTTTCTTTATTATACTTATACATCAAATAAATGCTTCTTCATAATCAGCAACAATTTTAAGCAGAAGATAAAGCTGTGATCCACAATTTTTTATACCCCCTTCTAGAAAACGCCTCTGAATTGGATACCCCGTTCTAAATCAGGAGCTTCAAAATCACGACCCTGTTGGGCGGCACATACCTGTATAGGTAATGTATGGGAGTACCCCCCCGGGCCCAAGAATGACGGGAATGAAAACATCTGTTTACAAAAGAACAAATAATTCCATTCTGCCCGCTATTTACCTTTGATTGTATTCAAGTCAAAAAGAAAGATTCAGAGGAAATAAGATTAAAGCTACCGTAATTTGCTTATGGATTTCTTCACAAGGGTTTTAAACACAAACCTGGATGCATTTCATGCGAGTGTAAGCCATCTCATCAAAGGGCCAAAAAATGTCAAATAAAACCACCTCTGCTCCTTGCATCTTAAGTTCATTTCCTAGCTTGTGACCAAAGTAGCCTCCGCCTCCCGTAAGAAGGACTTTTTTCCCACGAAATATTGCAAACAAATTCTTCTTTAAATCGACCTGCTCACCCTCCATATCGTCTAGCCGACCATCCACTTCAATCCCAGCCATTACATAACCAGCAAAGAGTCCGCAATATTACTATGCAGCAGATAAAACAACTAGACCAGGCGCAGATTTCCTAATATGGCTAGATGAGTCGCGATTCAACAGAAATATACAGAGGAAAATATGGCGGAACCTGGGCGGACCATCGACATTTTGGCTATTTGCGATGAGTGGAAGCCCTCGAAGGGTGGTTTGTCTGCTTTTAATAGAGAATTGGCTATCAATTTGGCAAAAGTATCTGGGGAAAATGTCAATATACATTGCTACGTGTCCCAAAGTGATGATGCGGACAGTGAAGACGCTAAAAAAAATGGAGTGAACTTGTTGACTGCTCAGAAAATATCAGGAACGGAAAACCCTCATGAATGGCTGAAGTTTCCACCACCAGAATTACCCAATATTGACATAGTGATTGGCCATGGTAGGAAATTTGGATTACCCGCCTGTTTTATAAAAAAAATCATGAACAAGTTAAAATTGCCATGCAAACTGTTGCAGTTTCTGCACGTATGTTGCCTTGAGCTTGGTAAGTACAAAACGTCGAGAACGAACGATACAATCCACGAAAACGAAGAAAAGCACAAAGATGAAGTAGACCTCTGTGAAGAAGCCGATGCCGTTGTATCAGTGGGAACGGCGCTACAGCAGAACTACCAAAGATTTCTACCAGATGTTAAAGTACATGCTTTCACTCCAGGTATTTTTGACAGTTTTGTGTCAAATCAGCCTCCCCAGCAGCTACCTTTGGCAGAAGATGAGGAATTCACATGTCTGGTTTGTGGTCGAGCATCCAAGGAAGATCGTTATCTCAAAGGTTATGACATTATCGCTGATGCGATAGGAAATCTTGGAAAGAATTTTAAGTTGGTATTTGTTGGTTCGCCTGCTGGTAAACAAAGAAAAGTAGAGAAGTGGTTCCTAAAGGAAACCAAGATAAAACGCGAGCAACTGACCATTCACGCCTATGTTGACCAAAAGCAGCTGAAAAAACTGATCCGCACTTCAGACATGGTTGCACTTCCATCTCGTACAGAAGGTTTTGGATTGGTTGCTCTGGAAGCCATTTCGGCTGAAACTATTGTTCTTGTATCAAAACAAGCTGGTATCTCGCGGGCCCTCCAAGCCGTACAGGGTGGTAGTTCTGTTATTGTTGAATCACATGATGATCCTGACGAATGGGCTAACAGAATGCGACAACTGTCCAATCAGACCCTTCAGGAAAGACGTGAAAGAGCTGTTTGTCTTCGCAAAAACTACGCGAAGAAGTACTCTTGGGGAGAAGAATGCCAGAAACTAATGACCTTGATTAAATCATTGGTGATAAGAGGTATGTCGGCTTGAAAAGGTTTTAAAAAACTGTTTAATTTCACTATAGTTAGTGGTTTCACTATATAGTCTCATCCTCGGGAAACCTGCAAATTATATGACAATTTTTTTAGATGGTGCTCTTTAACGGTTTGCAATTCTTTTCACTTGCCTTGCCACCAGAATTTGCTTTACCAAGTATAATGAAATGATATGGAGGCAGTTCCTCTAAAAATCTCTCCTTCAAACAATAAGACGAACAGATCACTTTAATAGCAGCCCTTCTATACACCTTTTTTTTGGGCAGGGGGGTTGGGGGGGGGATTATACTGTATTAATTTTATTTGTTGTCAGTTTTGTTTGTTTATCAATGAAACATTTGGAACGTGCTGGTTACTGCTGATTTCGATTCAGAAGCATTTTGGGTCAGTAATCCAGCTTTCCAAAGTGAATTGTTACTTGAAGTCTTTACAATGTGTAATGCATTTAGCAGAATCATAGTCAGTGGAACAAACATCATGATTTTAATTGACGGATGAACTATAAGAATGTGTCTTGATTGGCAGTCATGCCAGTGATCAGAATTTAATTTAATACCCTCAACTAATTATACACAATTCTTCTAATGATGGTTACTACACATGTTGTCAAAATGTTGGTCACTGTCAACAAAAACACTCACCTGGATGATCATATTCCACCCACTTCTTAACAATGAAATAGAGGCACCCTTTGATTTTCTAATAAGTATGTTTCTAAATATCTACTTATATAGGTGATAACAGCCAGCCCTCAGAATCAAACATGAATGCCACCACAGCAGCTGCCCGGGTAAACAGAAAACAAACTCGAGCTGAGGTTGATGGTCAGATTCAGAAAAGCATTCCAATGTACTTACAAGCAGCTCTCTGCCAATGTTTTGAAAGGATGAGCCATGCCTTGAGATGGGGCGATGTTTCTCTACGAGATGATCCTGTGACAGGCAATGAGGGACTGTTTTTAAAAGTTGGCAGTTCCACAGCCTATAGAGACTATGATCAAGAACAGGGAGAGCATCCATTGCAACCAGGGGCAGTGAGATTGAACAAATTCTTTGCAAAATATGGGCCCTCAGAGGCAAAAAAGGCTTATTCACTATCTGAAATATGGATGGACGCGTTTTGTTTTTTTGCAGCCATAGCAGTGCTGATCTTAGGAAAGCTATGCTCAAATCACTATGAAGATTCCAAAGCTTTAATTGGTGCTATTTGTGCTCTTATATTTAGTATTATATTTGCAACTCACGAGAAGGCTCTCCATCTGAAAAATAACAGAGCAGGACCTGAACAATCGATGAAAATCGATGATCGGAAAATCAATCGATCAATCAATGACAATTGATTAATTATTGTTGATTAGCATCGATTGGTATCAACCAATCAATGATCAATCGATAATCACACTTAGGTGGTGGCAAACTTCATCGATTGCCATCGATTGGCACAAAATTCATGTCTCCGTATTTTCAGGTATTGCGGGAGTGTACACAGATTGTATGTTATTTTTAAACCTCAGTAGCAAAGTTTGAGAATTGTTCATCAATATGGCTCCATGAAAAACAGCACAAATAATTAAGACAATTAGCATATCTTGTTGTCAGTATTACAAACTTGATCGATTTAGCTTCGAGTTCATTGCAAAGATTCAACTGACCTGGGACGCAGTTGTTGTTCAAACACGATTAAGCTTATTGTTATTTCTTTTTCTTCTTCTTTCTTTATATGTCTGTGCAGACGCCAACCTCGATCTTCCGTGCAGAATTCCCAAATAAAAAGCAATGATATCAAAATGTGTAGCTTTATTAGTACTCCGATGTTTGACTCAATAGGTAATCGATTGATATTGCATATTGATAACAATCTATTATGTTAATTGATCGATTCCCATCGATTATCGATTGATATTGAAATTGATGATAATCAATAATCACAAAAATTTTTGTGATCGATTGTCCATTGATTATCAATATCAATCAATTAATTGATATTGATTGACATCGATTGTCATCGATTATTGATTTCATCGATTGTTCACGTCCTGAACAATGGGATCAGAGAAGCAATGACTGGAAATACGTCTGCTGTTCGCAGGCTACCCGACGGGCGACTACGATAAAACTCTCTCCTCTGCAGAGGCCTCTTTGTGTTGTGGGGAGGCTGGGGAGAAAGAAAAAGAGAGCACGTGTGTAATGATGGGAAGAGAGAAGAGAGGCCTCTAACATATAATGTGCCCTTCTCTGGCCAGATTTGCGGTTCTGTGGTTTTGGCCAAACCAGCCAACTATTAGGATGATTTTGAATGCTGTTGTGAAGATAATAGTATAAAGGGCAGTATACGCAATCTGATGGGGTTTCCTTTCTGTTTCACGGATTTTTTACAATTCATGTTTTTGGAGCTGTTGTCCGCCATCTTGGATAATCATGTTCAGAGTTGTCAACTGTAGTTCTCTCCATTTAAGGGTCGGAAACTAAGTTGAGGCCCAATTCCGGTGAATTACTCGTATTTCAAAACAATATTAGTCTGTAGCTGCAAGGAAGCCTTTCTTTGATTTCCAACTCCAAGCTTGGAAGCATCGAACAAAGCCGGGGGACTTTGAACAGTAATAATTTAGACTTCGAATTCACCTTGATTTTAAGGATGTACTGTAGGTTTATATACGTCCTATTTAGACGTTTATCTTTAAGATCACCTTAATAGTTTGGAAAACTACGCTCAAATCGGTATTTTTTGTCTCCAAGACCAGGGTTGTTGAAATGACAAAAGATTCAAATACAGAAATTCAATGTCAGCACTGACTGTATAAAACACCAAACAGAATTTCAGAGTACTGATTAACAGCATTTTCTTAGTTTGAACGTACCAAGTCAGCGTTTAGTTGAGCTATTTGAATGCAGCCCCCTAATCTCTGTTAAGATGCTTGTGGTGATAATATCGTGTGCATTTATGGTAGAGGTCATTATAGTTTGTGAACGAGTTACAGTCTTTATGTGATTTACTCAACCCTTATTTTACTGATGGAGACATTTAATTTTATTCTATCACTTGTGAGTCTGTGGACAAGTCAAGATCATATATTATGATGTTAATATTAAAATAAATCTTCTTCAGTGACTCAGTGTTTTTTAAATTGAAATTTAGCATTCGCCTTGATTTTGAAGTGAGGTGCTTTTGGGACTCAGGGAAAGAATTATCCAACCTAACACACGGAGGATGTTTTGCATGAAGTATTTCTTGCTATTGCAAGTTGTTATCAACCAGTACAACTGTGGGCATCAACAATGTTATTCACAATAAAAAAAATCGCTCAGATTGACAAGCTGGAAAAGATGTAGAGGAAGTGCAATTTGTATAGAACTCCTGGATCAGACCTAAAGGGGACTCTCTCCAAACCTGGAGAGAGAAAGCCAGATTCGTCATGTTCTACAGGGGCACCCATGGGCTTGTAGACATACCACCCCTCAAAGACTTACTCCCCATTCCATGTAAGAACACTAGAAATTTCCACCCAAAGAAGTATCAACCCCTGACCTGCAATACCAACTGCTATATGGGAACATTTTCCCCCTCCACTGTCAATCTATGGAATGCTCTCCCTCCCGCCACATTAGACCAGCCGGACATTGAGCGAAAAAAGGGGAGAGTGAGAGAATGGGAAGAAAGGTTTTCTTTTCCCCCTTTCCCCTTATACCTTTCCTCTTCTCTTTTGGACGCCTGGTAGGCAGGATACCTCATAAATACGTCTCTTTATGTGTCAAGCTCTCTATACGCAATGTTTGCTTTCTATTTAAGTCTTAGAATGACAATCTCTAGTATGAAATTTAAATTAACCTTCTAGTTTAATTACAATCAACTATCAAACATCATCTCAGGTTAAAAAATTATAAAGGGACATATAAAAATTAATAAAATTAAGGAATAAGCTATTAGCCAATCAGAGGAGACCTTACGAAAGCTGCTACGTCACTGATTATTTCGCCTAGTTCTTACTCTTCAAACGAGTGAAATGTCCGCCATTTTTTGTTTTCACAACCAAAACAACTCAACCTCGTCCCCAGGTCTTCTCGGTTAACGATGCATTAACCTGCAAGGAAGCTGCACTTTTGACATCATCGGTTGATTAACTGCAAAATTCTTCCAAATTTGGTCATCAGTAGCTGGTTATGGTGAATTACGCGTGTGCTTTTAGCCAATCAGAATCGGGGAAATATTTTGAATGAATAACAATTTTACTTAATTTGCTCGTGTCGGAGCTGGTTTTCTCTACTGCTCTTCTCTTCGTATGTGAAATGTCTCCACTTTAACTTTTCTTCGAAGTCTAGAATGATCAATACTCGATAAGGATATACGGAAAGTGAAACAGAGGTTAGCGTGGTGTTACTTCAAATACTGTTAACACTCACTGTGGAAACGCCTGTCCAGACTTCCCTTTTTTTAGATGTTTTCTTTCTTCACTTTGCCTTTCATGCGAAGCTAAGCCTTTTAGTCTGGGGTCATAGAATCGTGACATGACAAAAGTGTAAAGGGAATACATTGTTATATGTTTTGAACGCATCTTTACCATTTTAATGTTTATTTTACCACGTTTAATGTCTTCAATCTACCTTATATCATGAAATGTGTGCACTCTTACTGCAGATGATTCGCGCACAAACAGTTTCAGATTATTTGCACACTCACATACCTACACACCCAACCTCTACGCCAGTTCTTTTAAACTTTTCCAACAGATACTTAAAAGATCCAACGCACTCTTAGTTTTATCTGTCTGTTCCCTGGTACTTGTACCAGTTCCGATCAGTTCCTTTTCCAATCAGTATTTGCTGATTAAACAAAATACACTTTTTCTCTCGGTAATGTCAATCATACGTTTGAGAAATCTTGAAATTCGTTTTGCAAGGTTGTTTATATTCTTTATTTTACTTTGGATAAAATGCCGGCTTGAATTTTACTGTCAGTTATTAAAAACAATTTTCATGGCTTAATCAGTTATATTAACACCAGAAGTGTTTTATATGTACATGTACATGTGAACAGTAAATCAGGAACAATACCTATCCTTTGAAGTTGAAACAATATTTCCCGGGTATGCTACAAACATTTCAAGTAGTTTTCAGAAAAATAGTTTAATGACCATATCCCCAGTTAGCTGGCAAGGTCAATTGGTTAGAGCTGGCTGTGCTGCATTCTTTATACTTGTGTTGCTGGTAATAAACCCAGCTTAGCTACTGAACACGGTCTGTGCACGCGGTAGAATACTCTGAAACAATCTTTCTGGTTAGAATGCTCTTTTGTAAAGGTTTTTTAGTGCAACTGAGTTGTTGCATGCTCTCAATATGCAAATATGCAGTTTTCACGGCTTTTCTGCGCTTGATCAGGCCACGAACCGTGTGAAATAACCTGATTTTCAGATGCGTCAAGTTCAACAGTATAGCTAAAATTGAATTTTTGAAAATGTACTTAGATTACTTTTTCAAGGCACAGTCATATCTTCCATTAGTAAGATATCAAACTAAAATGTTTTCTAGGTTAAACTCTTTTATATGACGCTTCACTGGCGCTTGAGGTTCATGCATTTTATTGCTGGCCTATCAACGGATTGGAAAGCTACAGTAAACACCCGAATATTAGAACACACGATTTCGGGATTCAGGCTGATCTAGTTCTTATTTATCGGGTGCTTAGAGAGAAATTAGCCTGCAGATTTTCTTAACATGCTCTTGAACATTGTTCCAGAAATACTACACATAACATGTTACTAGAGGTTTAGTTACTGAGTATATTTTATTTAAGTAACTAAGAAAGTAAACAAATCTGTAAATCAATAAATAAAATAAAAATATTGTAAAAATATTTTGTAAATCTCTAGCAGTAACCATAGTTACATTGCCTTCTTATTCCGACGCCCTCTCCCTTATTATATAAGAACAAGTAATATTTATTAGGCTGAACTGGTTCTGAAATTTCAGCCTGATGTTCTTCACCCATTTGTTCTTATATGCGAGTGTTTACTGCATCAGTATGTGTTTTTCCACAAGATTTTTACTTTTATTAAGGGAAAAGGTTCTCTGCTAGCAGAGGTCACTCACGACGTGAGAGACCTCTGCCAGCAGGGAAGGGAAAGGAGTAAATAACGTAGACTACGAGCAGTCTCTCTTTTTTCTTGGTCCGTCGAGCAAAACGCCCGAGACACGCAAATGACCAAGCGTGTCGTTTCTCGCGTCTCGCAGCGTCTCGCCGCTCAACGCTCGGGCGCGTGTGCACTTCCCTTACTAAATCTGAAGAAAAAGAGTCTATAAATAACGGGGCGAACTCGATCTTTCTGCTAGTTTTTCACGAACTTCAAGAAAATTGGTCCCAGCACTAGGGGCTTTGAAGAGTAAAAAAATGTAAGGAAAACGCTCTTCATGGCACCCTCAATATACACCTGCAGAGTATCATTTAGAGGCTACAATATATTTTTCTATGTTCTATTTTAGATGTTTGACAAGTCGAATATTTGATAATGGCGTCGTTATGGACATCTCGCAAAATCAAAGTCACTATTTTGGCTTCTGAATGGGGATCAAGCAAACGGGGGCTTTCTACTGTGAACAGAGAGTTAGCCATTCAGTTAGCCAAGTGTCCTGAAGTGGAAATCACTTTCTTTTTACCACAATGCAGCCAAATGGACAAAACGGAAGTCCATGCAAATAGTGTAAGGATCGTGGAAGCAACGCGTCGACTTGGCTTTGAGCAACTGGAGTGGCTTTGCTTTCCTCCGGCAAATTTGGAAATCGACATAATGGTAGGTCACGGAGTTAAACTTGGTAAACAAGCACAGGTCATCAGAGACTTCAAAAAATGTAAGTGGATTCAGGTTGTGCACACAGACCCTGAGGAGCTTGGGATGTTTAAAAGCTACTCCAACCCAATTTCAAAGGGCGAAGAAAGCACAAGACAGAAGTAGAACTGTGTGAAATGGCGGATTCTGTTGTAGGAGTTGGACCCAAGTTGAGCGAGGCCTTTCGCTCATATCTTCGCAGCAGCAATAAAGATGATAATGTTCTTGACGTCACCCCTGGAGTATTTGAAGTGTTTGAGGCTGTGAACCAGGTTCCTAATGAAAGACAACAACGCGATGTCTTGGTGTTTGGTCGTGGAGACGTTGAAGATTTTGAATTAAAAGGATTTGACATCGCTGGCAGAGCGATTGCTGCATTACAAGATACTCGTCTTGTGTTTGTTGGAGCCCCGGAGGGAAAACATGAAGAAATAGCTAAACGGTTAAACAGATGTGGTGTTCCTTTAAGTTGCTTGAGGGTGAGAGAATTTGTTCAAGACCGAGAAAGTTTAAAGCACTTGTTTCAGGAAGTGGATCTTGTAGTTATGTCTTCAAGAACAGAAGGCTTTGGGTTGACAGGACTAGAGGCTCTTTCAGCTGGTCTTCCTGTGGTTGTCAATCACAACTCGGGTTTTGGAAAGGCACTGTGCAGTATACCCTTTGGTCCGTCATTTGTGGTTACCGTAACTCAGAGGATCCCGCCGATTGGACCGCAGCCATTCAGAAACTCTGGAGCAAAGAAAGGAAATGTCGACTTAGAACCTGATACTCAGGCTAATGTCGACTTGAGGAAGTGAAAATCTTGCGTGATTCCTATGGCAGGAAATACAACTGGGCGGAACAAATGAAAGAGCTCGTTAACAAGATGATTGGTTGGGCTCACGGTATGAACGTAAATTACAGTTTCTTCAGCACATTATAGGGAAATATTGAAACGTAATCAAAAACATTTTGCCTTAACGTCAGAGCAAAAAACTCACTCAAACGATTTCCATTTGCCTTTCAATTGCAGAAACAATTTAATGTGTGTAATTTCTTTATTTCTCATGCATTGTACTCACTTTCCGTCTCCTTAATTATATTAAATACCGACTTTTTATTTTGGAAATCAGCGCAACCTACAGATTAGTTCCTTATCTACAGTAGTTATCTTATAGCAGGTAGCTGTCTAACCTGTAGGTTGCACACTAATAATATTATAAAAATGCTGTTCTTTTCAATATTATTTTGAATTTTTTTCCCGGGTCTAGTTAACTTACTACACCTTGTTTTGTTTGAAACAAGATGGGCTTCCGCTGGTTTTACACCTGTGTAGCGTACATCAGTGTATACGGATGCTGCTAAAACAGAGCAAAAGGGAACATAGGGTAAAAATGGATAGACTCAGTCATTAATAATGTGTTTTTGAGACTGAAAGCTCATTGTTACATCACCCCGCTCAGCAACGAACTTCTTGATTTAAATCTAATTACTAACTGAGTAATTTCACTAATTATCAACTTAGTTTCCTCTAATTGCTCTGATTCAGTGCAATTGAAACGTTTGGACTAAGGGTGCAGCGGCCACTTAGTAATTTTCACGGAGTTATAATAACTCCTCTAGTGGCGTTAATTTAACTCCTTACAATGGAGTTATTTTTGGGGGAGTTATTTTAACTCCAAAAAGAAGTTTAAAGAACTCTTTTTCAGGAGTAAAAATGACCCTAGATATCGAGGAGTTAAAATAACCCCAAAAAAGGAGTTATCCTGTACCTAAAGTTTTTATTCCACTTTCAGACTTAAAGCAACTCCAAAAGGAGTAAAAACGACCCATGGCATGTAAGGAGTAAAAATAACCCCATTTTCGGAGTTATTTTAACTCCAGAATGGGAGTAAAAAGAACTCTTTTTCAGGAGTAAAAATGACCCCAAATTTGGAGTTAAATTAGGAGTTAAAGTATCCCCAAAAAGGGGTTATCCTGTACCTAAAATGTTTACTCCATTTTTGGAGTTATAATAACTCCCTAAAAATTACTGCACAGTTTATCTGATAGCAAATGATAGACCACGCAGCAAGCGTTCATGTGCAAAAATGTCTAGACGTACAGGAATACTTGCTTCGTGCCTTTTTATTGCAAGGTGAAAAGATTCCCTTTTCCACATTTTAATGTGATAAAAGACCGCCTTTAGACCATCTGGAAAAAGAGATAACTATCAACCTCTTTTTCTTCAAAATTCAACTTAAAATGTTTCGGTTTGGTTTTTTCATTTTCCCGTTCTCCTTTCTCCATTTCCTGTTCTCATTTTAAAATATCCTATGAATTTCGTTGTAGCATTCATATTTCAAAATTATCTTTCCAGATCAAAGTGACTTATTCATTCCTAAGAAGTCTGTTCCAGCTGATATCGAAGATGAGATTCCAAAGTTGAATATAAAGTTCAAGATGTTGGGCTGCTTCACGCTGTCGCAAAAAGTGGAAATATTGAAATCATTGCGTCGTTGCTGTCCCAAGGATTTGAAGTTGATTCAAAAGACAGGGAAGGTGTAACTCCACTGAGGCATGCAGCCGAGAGCAGCAAAGAAGTTACCTTTCAGATGTTGATACAAAAAGGCGCTAATGCATCTTTGAAAGACAACAAAGGGTCAAGTCTGCTCCACAGGGCTGCAATAGGTGGAAATACATCCATTATCAACAAACTGTTATTACTTGGTCTTGAAATAGATACAAGGAGTGATGACGGTTTCACTCCACTGATGGCTGCAGCTCTTGTTGGTAAACAAAGTGCTTTTAAGATGCTGTTACGACATGAGGCTAATGTATCTTTGAAAGACAACAAGGGGGTCTGTCTGCTCCATTGGGCTGTACAAGGTGGGGATACATGCATTATCAACACGATGCTATCACTTGGTCTTGAAACTGATTCAAGGAACAATGATGGCGTCACTCCACTGTTGAGAGCAGCCCTTAGAGGTAAACAAAGCGCATTTCAATTGTTGATACAAAACGGTGCTGATCTAACTTTGGAAGACAACAATGGTTGCAGTCTGCTCCACAAGGCTACCCAAGGTGGAACTGATACATCCATCGTCAACGAGCTGTCATCGCTTGGTCTTGAGAGAGATTCAAGGAACAATCACGGTGTCACTCCACTGATGGCTGCAGCTTGTTGTGGCAAACAAAGTAGTTTTGAGTTGCTGTTACAACATGGGGCTGATGCATCTTTAAAAGACAACCTGGGCAACTGTCTGCTCCACTGGGCTGCACAAGGTAGAGATACATCCATTATCAACAAAATGTTACGGCTTGGTCTTGACGTTTCAAGGAACAATGCTGGTACCCTTCAAAAGTAATAGAGTAGTAGAAATACCGGTCAGCTCTCCACATTTACAAACATATATGTTTAAGGATGTAAAACATAAGATAGAAGTGAGAGTGGTACTGTAATGGATGGGTGAAGATTGATCAAGTAAGAAAGAGAGGTGTGGATCAGGATTTTGAGAGTTAAAAAGACACAGCGTTTTATTACAAGGCTTCATGGTCACAGTTCAAATAGGGTTTCACGAGTCATAATGAGAGCTGGTTGTTTGTAAGTGTCTGGTCCCAAGAGCTTCAACTGCATTACATTTCAGTTTGCATCTTCAAGTATTTGTTTTCCTATGGTAATAACAAGCACAATAAATTATTATTATAATTTTGGAAGGAATTATGTCTGACCTTCAATGACAAGTTTGGTTCCTAGAACACTCACCATCTCTATCTTCCTTCTGTTTAACTGAGAAAAAAAAGGTTACAGTCTAAAAAATGAGGAGAACATGTTGTTTTGGCCATGTTTCCTGTTTACCGGCATAAAAGAAGTGATTGTTTTAATTTTCAAACAAAATAGGTCTGCTGGTAATCAGGTGCACCTCCGATGTCTTGGCCTTTACACATTTTACACTTGATGACTATAAGTTTGATTTTATGGGAATACAAAATTTACCCTGTGAGCAGAGGTTTCTCCCTTCCATGGCTTTTAACATTAACAAAGTAATTCACATGGCTTATCAGTCCTGTACTTGGCTTGTTTTATACACAGGATGTAAACAAACCAACTGCGTAAGAGACAAGCCACATGAACGACTTCGTTGCCCTTGTCTATCTTTTACACCTGGCTTAAGAAGCCCTGGACAGGGGCATTTGCTATCTAAGGTTATTTTTTGCTGATTTTAAAAAAGGTTTTGACCTTATTGATCACCTTATACTAATGGAGAAGCTTTCTACACAGTACAATCTCCACTGGAGCTTGCTTAGGTGGGTCACATCCTTTTTGTAAGGGAGAGCTCAGGTCACACGCGTTGGCGTCTTGGTTTCTGCTCCTTTATATCTAAATGGAGGTATTCCTTAGGGCACAAAATTGGGTCCTGTGTTGTTTGCTGTTATGGCCAATGACCTTGTTCAAAGTTGGGGCACCCGCATTAAATTTGTGGATGATCTGACAGTTTTGGAGGTTGTACCTCGCAATTCGCCACCCTTATTGAATGTAGTAGTTGATGATATCCACGCTTTCACTGTTAACATCAATATGCACTTAGACCCCCGTAAATGCAAGTCCATGACTGTTGACTTTCTTCACTACAATAGTTGAGTCCCACGCCCAATCGCAGTTGGTGGGTTTGATATTGAAAAGGTCTCTACATTTAAGTTCCTCGGTGTCCATCTTTCTGAGGACCTCACTTGGGCAGTGCACTGTGACTACATAGTGAAGAAGGCCAACAGACGGCTTTATGCACTGAGACAACTCAAGAAGAGCAAAGTTCCATCGGCTGATATTGTTCATATCTACTGTGCGCTAATTTCCTCTATACTAGAGTATGCCTCCACTGTCTTTGCTGTTTTGCCTAAAGATCTCGCTTGCTATCTCGAGAACGTGCAAAAAAGAGCCCTTTCCATCATTTGGCCTGTATTTTGTATGAAACAGCACTTGACAAAGCTGCATTATCTTTATGACAGCTATATCTTTATGACAGTCGGACAGTCTTGTGTATTAAATTTATAGGTAAGGTTCGGCCAGGTAACCCGTTATACCCACTAATACACAATAGAGTGGTACCTATATCTACCACTGTGTGTCTAAGATGTGTCATGGCCACAAGGACTGAACGTTTCTCAAATTTTATTAGTGTTAAATATTAATCTTGTCAATCAATGTAGCATATTTGTATATTTATCACAGCTTGTAAGGTATGCTACAATTCAGCCTTCCGACTGCAAAAGGGACAATAAACCAGTGATTTGATTTGAAAAGAGAAACCTCCACTCTGAGGTATACAAAATTAAGGTTATCTGTTGGAATCCACTGCAGACTGCCTGATCCTTGTTTTCACTTCTAAAAAAGGTTTCAACCATGATCTTCCACCCCTTAAATCACATACCTGTTCTCTACCAGACATTCCATATGATGCACAGTGAAATACTGTATCAAACTGATGGTTACTGAATACTTGTTCCACATCTTCCTTCTGGGTTAAATCTCCCTGAAAACAATGATTTGAGTAAGGGTTGAGCACAAAGACAACATAAATCCCTATAAGATTCAAAAAGGATAATTCTTAAAAGGATTTTATTCCTTGAGCTCTGTGTGCATAGTAAAAAATTTGACCAAGCATTTACACTGCCCAGACAACCACACTATTTATGTGGGCATTCAGGGTGCAAAGAAAATCATTCTTTACAGCTTGCCATTTGGGCAAGCCTACTGGATTTTTTGACTTTCAGGCTCATATTGAGTACCAGCGACTGTAATGTTGACATCTCTGAACAACTTATACACCAGCTAAATAACCTCGTTCTTTGTCGTTTATCCACGTCTCTAGCTCTTTCATGGCCTGCCGAAATTTTTTTGGTTTATTGTGTACACCATAATGTTGGTAACTTGTCGCTTTGCTTAACTGTTTTTGGACGCCAGTCTTGTTTAAAGTCAGTTTATCCTTTGGAATACAGCACACGCTATGAGATAACAATTTCTGGTGTACATCACTCGCTTCGAGCGAATTCTTCAAACATGTCCAGAAAACTCCGAAAAGCTAGGAAACAGTTTCTTCAATTACGATCTTTCATCAGAAGCCCGAAAAACACTTCACCAGGCTTGAAACCACTCAAAATTGCCTTTTTCTTCCCACCTCTTTTTCAGACAATCATGGACAAAAGTCTTGAGACACTATTGCGTTTCTGGGGCGTTTTCCAATTCATGGACATCCAACCCTCTCCTCACCCCACAAACAACGTTGGATGCGTGTATCCAGAATTTTTTCCGAGTTTCAACTTTGTATCAGGTGGGGGGAGGCAGAACTGCAAGAAAATTGCGAAAAGGATGCACTGTTTTAAGAGGGAACCGAGAATCACAGAAAAATATGAATATTGTAGTACTGTCCCTGATTGTAGCATTTACTAGCCCAGACGTCATCTCAACTAGCCCCAAAAGCTTTTTGACAAGCAGATTTGATTTCACAGTTCTTCTGTTATTCAAATTCCTCAAAAAACATCACTTGCCTGTTGGGCAAGTGAAAAACAGAATTCACTAGCCCAATAGCAAAATCCACTAGCCCCAGGCTATTGGACACTACTTTCTTTGCACACTGGCATTTCAGATATAAAATGGGCATGTCTATTTTTTTTTTGCCAATTATCTGACAAGCTATTTGTTAAAAAAACATTGAAAAGTGAATTTTCCAAAGAAAAATAATAACCACTATAGAGGTGAATTAAAGTGTAGCGAAGTGAATTGCCTCTTACATGGCATTTCCACAAAGACAACTGCTGCTTTGGCAATGTTATAAAACAATATGGATCTTACTGTTCGCTGTGAATACAATGAGTACCAAAGCATTTGTTTTGCACAGCTACAATGATGACAAAAATGAATAACTAAGCAAAACAAAAATGCTGAACATTCAGCACACTATTTGGCAGGTTTCTTTGCTGTTATTGCGTGACTAACATAGACAAACTTGATTGAAATGGCAATGTGATTGTCATTTTAATCTGTAAGATTGTTCCATCATCAAGCGATTGTTGTGACTTTGAAATACCTTTCCAGAAGCTCATTAGGTTAGCATATGACAGGGTAGCGGTAAGTACCTAATCTAGAAAAGGATAACACGCTCGCAGAGTCCAAGGTCCTGGGGGGGCACTCCCTTATATAAGGGAGCGTATGAAATTATATCTTTATCCTGTCAATTTCAAATGAATAAGAAAGAACCAGAAACATGAGAATTCAAAATGCATTTGAAGAAATTTTTTGTTTGTGCTTGAATCTAAGTAATCATGACATAATATTTCTGGTCTGAAAATGGGTATGGATTTTAGAGGTTTGGTCTGAAAGACAGGTGTGAAAAATGACATTTTCTGGTCTGAAATAGGGTCAGGATTTGGAGAACAGGACGGCACACTCCCACCAAGAATTCCCAGGGGTACCCCCTCCCCCCCCAACTCCGACCAGGGTTCCAAGAATGACAGGAGTGGAAATCCGTTTACATGCAAAAGAACAAATAAATTCCATTTTGCCCGTCATTTACCTTTGATTGCATTCAAATTAAAAAGAAAAATTCCGAGGAAATAAGATTAAAGCTACCGTAATCTGCTCATGGATTTCTTTACAAGGGTTTTAAATACAAACCTGGATGCATTTCATGCGAGTGTAAGCCATCTCATCAAAGGGCCAAAAAATGTCAAATAAAACCACCTTTGCTCCTTGCATCTTAAGCTCATTTCCTAGCTTGTGACCAAAGTAGCCTCCACCTCCCGTTAGAAAGACTTTTTTCCGCGAAATATTGCAAACAAGTTCTTCTTATCAACCTGCTCACCCTCCATGTCCTTAGACAGAAAGAAACAGTACATGAGTCCGCAATACTACAATCCAGCGTCAAAACACGTGACCAAGTTTATGCGGCGGGACGCGGGAAAAGTCGTTAAATTCTAGTTTGAACACCAACGGAAAATATGCCAGAACGTGAGGGTGCTATCGTCATTTTAATTATTTGTGATGAGTGGAAGCCCTCTAAGGGCGGATTGTCTGCATTTAACAGACAACTGGTTATCGAT